TTTTTTTATTTTTTGAGACAAGATCTCGCTAAATTACTGGGGCTAGTCTTGAACTTGATAATCCTCCTGCTTCAGCCTCTCAGGTTACTGGAATTACAGACATGTGCCACCATGCCCAGCAACATCTTATCTCATCTATCTATAATTTATCTATTGGGTTGGAAAACAAGGGCTACAGTATAGCTCAGTGGTAGAGCACTGGCCTAGTACATGCAAGGGCCTGGATTCAGTTCCTAAGACACACACACACACACATACACACAGACATGCACAAAGTGTGGGTAATAAATTAGGATAATTCTTACCATAACATGTGTGTCTTTTAAAATCTTATTTCTTTTTATTTATTTATTTATTTATAGTTGTGATGGACACAATACCTTGACTTTATTTATTTACTTTTATGTGTTGCTGAGGATGGAACCCAGTGCCTCATACATGCAAGGCAAGTGCTCTGCCACTGAGGCCAGCCCTAAAATCTTATTTTTTAAGCTACTTATACTGATAGCAGGAGAAACCTACTTACTTTAGACAAAATTGTGGTGCACAGAAAGGAGGACATTAGGAAAGTATCATCCCTTACATAGATTTTTCTGTCAATGATACATATGATTATATATGGCATGATTATTTATCAATGACAAAATAGTAGCATGAAAATAGTATAATCTTAAGATACCTGAAAGTATTGTTTCTTTTAATTGTCTAACTTTTCCAAGTTCAGAGTATACAGGACAAAATGTTTTGAGGGTAACCTAATACTATTCAAAAAATTTTAATCTCAGACAGATTCAGTAAATCACCAAATCTTGAAATGCAAGTAATATCCCTTACTAGCACAATGGGAATTGTCGACTGCACTCAGGCAATTGGCTATAATTATTGGATAATCAGGTGTAATGAAGATGTCTAGGCTCATAGGAAAAACCTACATCGTGTTAATGAAGAATTTTATCGTTGAAAATGTCATGTTTGCATTAAATGTTTATATGCTTTCCTATCAAAGTGGTCGTTGTTTTTGCATTCACAGTGTGTTGCCTGGGAACTGAGTATGTAGCACCATCTTCAGGCAAAATCTGCAAATTTCATCTGCCCGTGGAAAATTTTACAAAACGTTAAAATGGAGGTTGAAAGCACTTCAAGAATGATGGAGATGGCTGTCATTACAATAAAAAATTATTTCAAATGCCATCTAGTTTGCCCTCCCTTTTGCTTTCTCTCAAAGCACATGCAGTGGCCCTTTAAAGAGAACTGCAGTATGTGAATTTGTTTGCGTAAGTCTACCACAGTCTTGCAGGTGGGGTTCCTTCTTGATTAGTCAGGGAGCACAACAACTATGGTCCTCAAAGCCCACAAGGATGTTTTCATTTTTTTGTTTGTTTGTTTTTAATAATCAGAGAAAAAAAATTATTCTTAGGTTAAAAGAAAAAAATTAAATTTTATTTTATTTTTTATACAGGGATTGAACTTGGGGCAGAGGATCTACCACTAAACTATATGTCCACCAGCCCTTTTAAAAAAATATTTTATTTTGAGATAGGGTCTTGCTAAGTTGTCCTTGAACTTGTGATCCTCTTGCCTTAGCTTTCCTCCTGAGTTGTTGGAATTACAGGTATGTTCTACCATACCCAGCTTAAATGTTTTAACATAACATTAATGTATTCATCTTTATATCAACCCAAATAAAATTTAAATTTTATTTATTTATTTTTGGTCCTGGGGATTGAACCCAGGGCCCCCTGCATGCTAACTGTGCATTCTATCACTGAGCTACATGCCCCGCTCTAATTTTTAATATTTTTGAATGGAGGAGAGATACCTGAAGACAAGAGTGCCTAAGGTGCTAAGACCATATGACTTTCTCTCACAAACTGGGGTGCTGAAGAACTTTTCAGGGCAGCCATGAGAAATAGTCAATTGAATCCTTTTAAACTACTTAGAGCTGACTCAGTCTCAAATTTTCATCTCCCTTCCGCCCCCCCATACCAGAGTTTGAACCCAGGGACCTTTAAGCACTGACACACTTTCCCAGCCCTTTTCATTTTTTATTTTGAGACAGGGTCTTGCTAAGTTGCAGAGGCTGGATTTGAACCTATAATTCTCACCACCTCCACCCCATAACTGGGATTAAAGGCATGTACCACTGTGTCTGACTCAAATTTTACTCTTTTTATCTTAGCTGCTTTCAGTCTTTTTAGTCTAATTCTTATTAACTGTACCAGAGTTCATTTAAAATTTATGGTCTCTGATTTTATCATATATTTAATTCATATTATTTAATCAGGTAATCGGGGCTTTTAAAAAGCAAATTCTTTAACTCAGTCATCATTGAAAAACCTAAAGCCAAATAAAATGTTTACATGTAGACATTTTTAGCAAATAAATGAACAAAAAAATCATGATAAACCCCAAATATGTTGGACATTTGTTAGATAGCAGCCTTTGTGGAAAAATTATTTATAAAACTCTCATTTTAAATTTAAACATACCCAGTGACCCTATGAAATAAATATTATTTATCTGTCTTTTTACAAAGGAAGGAAGTCAAGTGTACAGGAAGGTGAAGCTCAGTGTGTAAGTCAGTATCTGGGGAGAGGGAGAGCCAGAATTTGGAGTCAAACTGAAACCCTGTGTATTTGACTCAAGCCACAGCCCAGTGGACTCTGCCACTCTCAGGCGTCTGGTCCTCTTTATGGATTGTGCTCTGAGTCACACCTCTCCCTGTGAATGCTGGAACATCCACAGCTAAAATAAATAAGGCTACTGATTCAAGGATTCTTTGCGAGGTGTGCTTCTTTGAAAACAGTTTTTCCCAATAGGTTAAATTCGCTTATTTTAACATACATGGTCCCCCCTCCCCCAATAGAACCATAATGTGGATTGGAAGGATAAATGAGATATTCAGGAGGTTGTTTTGAGAAAATATTAAATGGTCTTGAGCCATTAAAATTATTGGTTTTGTTTGTGAGTTTTAAAAGATTATACTCTGCAGTTGGGGAAAAAAGCCCTCTGTGGTCAGATAGACAAACTTTCAAATACAATAAGTGTAATATGTAAGTAGTAGGATATTAAGCAATTGACTTCTCTAGCTTTTGGTGCCTTCATCTACAAAATGGGAATATATTTGCTTCAAAAGTTTTAGGAAGTCTAAATGATTAATATCGTTAAAACCCCTGGCATCAAGCTCAGTATACTTCGTTTTCTTTCCTCTAATTAGCCTAATATCTTTCCTCTAATTAGCCTAATAGACCAATTATATGTAAAAACATATAATTGGCCTATTTCCAATCAATAAGACAATTATGATTCTCTGTTTTCTTTTTCACTTTTTGTTATGCTGGTGATCAAACCCAGGGCCTTGGCCATGCTAGACAAGCACTCTGTGGCTAAGCTACACCCTCAAACCCTCTCATAGTGTGTTATTGAATGACTAAATATAAAAGTACATGCTGAGCAGAGGTGTCCTCATATCCAACAGTATCTTTTGACAGATGTATTTGTTCACATAATTTTTATTTAACCTGCTTTATGGAAATAAACTAAAAACAACAACAAAAAAATCCCATCTCACTGACAATCAGGGTTTGGCTAAAATCATTGTAGTTTCTTAAGACTAGGGACTCATTCTGGCCTAGTTGTTCACCTTAGTTAGTTTCAACATCACAACAGCCAAGCTCTGGAAACCATGACATAATGGGAGTCTCCTGTATTTAAAACAGACACATGTCCAGCTGAAGACACGAACTTCCCCATACTCTAATAAACAGCTCTATTCACCATATTATTTGGCTGTCCTCATCATGGTCAATTGCTTTGGGATAGTTCCTGGCTCAAACCAACTTGATTCACTGACTTGTCATTACCCACTTGAGGTTTTTTTTTTTTTCTTGCTTAACACTTTTGAAGTGAATGACATGTCTTCTAGCTAATTGGTGGTAGTTTCCAGAACTGAAAGACTGCAGATCTGGTAGTCATGTTGGATCCTGAAGAAAACCAATAAAAGGCAGTAATGGGCAAAGAGAATTAAAGATTTACAGAGAAGCCAAGAGACAATCCATGCAGCTCCAGAAACAGGAAACAGTGGGTCTAGGGTCGCCTGAGTGCTTCCAGGTTTCCTTTCAACTCAGCTTCACTTCCTACTTGGATTGTCAAAGACATTTTGATCAACCACCATTCTCATTGAGCTGAACTGAACAAATGCTCAACCTGATGACTGCTGCCTGAAAGAAGGGACACAGTTTCCACTGAAGTGAGACTCTTCAGAGAGAGATAGAAAATGAGGCAAACTGAGGGCAGTTTCCCACTCTTTAACACCATGGGTAGATAGCAATCCAACACACTCTTATGAAGCAAGCTCTCCATCAATCCAGGCTATTGTGAACATGATTGATTAAAGGAAGAAGAGTGTGGAGGATGCTGACCAGAGTTTTCAACCTCAGGAAAGAGTTTTAAGGGATTCTGTGAAGAGGTCCTTGAGAGGTAAATTGAAAACAGGGAGAAAAACCTGATAAGTTTAGTCAACAAGGCCAGTTTTTGCAGCCTGTTTTCTGGGGTGAAAGAGTTTCATAAAAAATGAGTCATTTGGGAACACATTTTATCAGTTTATTATTTATTCAATGTTAACTATCAGTACAAATCTATTTTACCACTGTTTACAAATATTTAATCTACTTTATCAGATAAGAAAATCTCTGGCTAAAATTATTGTAGTTTCTTAAGACTAGGGACTCATTCTGGCCTAATTGTTCACCTTAGTTAGTTTCAATATCACAAGAGCCAAGCTCTGGAAACCGTGACATACTGGGAGTTTCCCATATTTAAAACAGAAAATCTCTTTAAGTTTATGCAGTTTTGAAGACTTTGTCAGAGTGAGTTTTTCCTCATGAAAACAAGAATTGATATTTCTAGTACCATTTACAAATGGTGAAGGTAAAAATATCAAATGTTGTGCTATGCAGTACCTAGCACATAACAATGAATATATCCACTCAGATTTCCTACTTTGCTTTCTATGAACAAATGATGACTCTACTTTCTCTTTTTTTAAAAAAAAGAATAGAACCCTGTAATTCTGACTTCTACAGACTTCTTCTTTGTAGTTTATAATAGTACAGTGTTTCTTCTTTTAGATTTTATGCATTTCCTGTGTTTCTTCCTACCTAAATTATTGTTAGGGTTAGGGTTAGGGTTAACATTTAGGACTCTTCATTTAGGACTCCTCATTCACTTGAGTCATTAGCCTTAATAAGGTGTGTTCTCATATAAAACGGACATGCCATACCACCTCTTTACTGTTAACATATACATTAAACATATTATAAAATGGATAGTCTACTGATTGATATTTTAATTGTACCTGGAGATTCTCATTTTAGAAGTAACTGGCATGTTTATCATGAGGAATAAACAAATTACTAAGTGACATAAAAGGCAGAATGTCATATTAATTAAGTTAATATCAACATGCATGATTTGAACTTTAGCACATAAATACCAATTACATAAATTATAATGGTGCTTTTTAAATTCGTTATATTATATACCATGTATCTATTTGAGTCCCAAATGTCCACAAATAGTTTTAATCTGAAATTTAAAATTTTATTTTGTATGTTACAGGTACAATAAGTTTTATAATATGTGAATATGAAAATTAAGATAAATTTATAATACAATCAAAAAGAATAATGATATTTTGATATTTCAGAATAGGCATATTCTGAAGTTTAGAGAAATGATGTTCTTTATGCAGGTCAAAAGAAGTTTAGGAATAGTTGATAATGCAAACCTTTTGTTTCATGTTAACATGGAAAAGCACAAAGAAGTGAAAAAAGGTCTATGATTTGAATTCCTTTTGGAAAATGATTTGCAAATAAATCCTTGAAAATTACAAATTTTAAAGAACTTTTGCCCAACTCCTTAAACACTCATTATCTTCAAAGTATTTTCTAGCTTTCAAATGAAATACTTTTAAGTTAATCGATGCAAAAAATATCACCAAGAAATAAACAAAAAATTCAAATTACTTGCATTTCTAAACTTACATTGTATTTTTAAAACATTACTTTCATTTCCTTGAGACACTGACATTCATAAAAGTTGTTTTTATATAAAACTTAAAAAGCTGTATCATTTCTTCACTATTAACATATACAGGTCCATTAAACATATTATAAGATGGATAGTATATAGGTTAATATTTTAATTTTACCTTGGGATTCTTGGTATGAATCTAGAAAGTGTTTATGAAAAAAAATAATGTATTAGTTTAGGTACTTCAGAATATACCTTGGAACAATTACACTTTTTTAGTCATAAAAGATTACATGAAAAATCAATTTAGTAAGAGTCCTGATGGAATTACCATGTTGCATACTGAGAAAAGTTGGCATAGATTTTAATGTAAAAATTATCCTGTAATCCCAGCAGCACAGGAGGCTGAGGCAGGAGGATGCCAAGTTCAAAGCGAGCCTCAGCAATGGTGAGGCACTAAGCAACTCAGTGAGACCCTGTCTCTAAATAAAATACAAAATAGGGCTGGGATGTGGCTCAGTAGTTGAGTGCCCCTGAGTTCAATCTCCAGTGCCCAAAACCCCCCAAATTATAACCACTTTCATAGCTGTGATTTCACTTCCAATTATTAACTTTAAAACATTATTAATTTTTTTCGACAACAGCATTTTTCCTCTGTTATACTCATATTTTCTATAAGATCTTTTAAATTTAAATATACATCAAGTTTTGAATGCTTATTTTGAATTTGTATTTCTGAATTTGTGGTAACATAAGATAAAATATCATGTAATTTTATTCTAATCATGTCTTACTTTATCTTATAGTTTACATACAGCTTAGGAATTTTCAGTCTGTTTAAAAGAAAAAAATGAATTTTATAAATTTACATAATTTAAAATGGTTATGGTTAAAATATTTTTTGAAAAGGTTGAGTTCAAATATGAAATAGTCAAGAAAAGGAGGATAGATAATTCTCACTAACTGGCAATTACTTGTTTCTCTGAAGCAAGTTTCAATTATATGTATATTCCCTGTTGACATTAGCTGCTTCTCAGCAATTTATGGAATCTAAATTTGCTTTTCTTAAGCACCACTACAAATTTGCTTTTTGTTTTTGCACCAGGAATTGAACCCAAGGGTGTTTAACTACTGAGCCACATTCCCACCCTCCCCCCTTATTTATTTATTTATTTATTTAAATTTAGAGACAAGGTCTCACTAGATTGCTTACAACTTTGCTAAATTGCTGAGGCTGGCTTTGAAAATTTTCTTTTGCTATTTGTAGGATTTGGTTTTGTGATCATCTCTCTCCACTCCTACACTGAAATGAATAATTTCTTTTCAACTTTCTGTCACTATAACAAATACTTGAGATTAATAAACTTGAGCAAACGTTTATTTGGGCTCAGGGTTTTGGAAGTTTCCATCCATGATCTGTTGCCCTGTTGCTCTGGGCCTGTGGCCCATCATGATGGAAGTGTGTGACACAACAAAACTGCTCCTCTCATGACCAGAAAGTGAAAGAGAGGAAGAGAAAGGGGTCAAGGTTCCATTATTCCCTTTGAGAGTGTACCCCAAACACCCAAGGACTTCCCACCAGGCCCAGCCTTTTAAAGTTTTCACCACTTCCTGACAGCTCCAAGCTGAGTGCCAAACTTTTTAGCCCCTGGACCTTTGCAGGGCACTTGTCCAAACCACAGCACTCATGGTATTCATACCACATACATGTGGGATTCTTTTCACACATAAACACAATGAAAGTAAATATTTTAAAACCAAAAAATTTTATTTCTTCTACCCTTTCCTGGGAATGGTATATAGGTCAGAACAATAAAGACTGGAGTGGAAAAAAAACAAACTAAACTAAACATCATATTTTTTACCAATGAAAAGCGGTGGCTTTGACCTCTGGAATATAGTAAAAAACAAGGAGATGAAGAATTCTCAGCATGTCTTGTGTCAGCTCACTGATGGTCCACAGCACCACTCCATTTCTTTCTGAGTATAAAAAGCATAATTCTTCCCATGATCTGCTTCTCTATGTTCCTCTAGGTTAGAGTTTGCCAGTGAGAAGAAATTACTGGAGAGTTATAGAAGGAGATGAAGAGGAAACCACCATTTTCCACAAGTGAATGGATAGGTGGAAGATTCAGAGTGGCTTCCCTAGCACATTTTTGAGAATGATCTACTTTGCCCGAGAGAGCTGGTGTTAGGTTTTAAAGATTCTCAAGTATTGCAGCAGGTCCAAGAAAGCTTCTGAAAGGTAACTATTTGGTGCTCTAGGCTGGAAACTTCAGTGCCAGCCTCTCCAAACATTGGCGGCTGCTTTTCTAACTCTACCTCCCCATTCTAATCCCCAGTTCCTTCAACAATCCTGAGAATCCCCTATTCTGCATGAAACACCTTATATATGAGAGACATCAAGTGACATCTATTATGATGACTGACCCCTGATGATATAGAGACAGTCACAAGAATGGAAAAATATTCAGTTAACTAAATATTATAAATGACCAAAATACCCAATATATCATCTTAATGCATACATACTGAATCAAATTTCAAAGTCAATTGTAGGTTAACTGAATGTCATTTTTTGCTTTTCTCTAACATTGACGAGTCAGACCATTGTATATGCTATTAGTTTCTTTGATCTTCTCAATGATGATCAAATAAACTTTGAGTCATCTTCATCTTTTTCTGAATGAAATATTTCAATTCTTAACATATAGGCTTGGAATTCATATACTTGATGTTGTTCAATGATGTTTTATCTGCAGTAAGAAGAGGGAAACAAGTTCAGTGATTAGTAGAAAATCCTTTAACCCTTGATCTTTATTTTCTTACTCTTTCCCTCTGACTTAATAGAGTGCTTCCAGTTCTATTTGTCACTACACTAGTTTTTTTGTTTTCATAAGCCTGGGATTTAATCAAGATCATATTGAAAGGTCAGAGAAATTGTAATGAATAGGACTTGAATATGATTTGATCTTGGCAAAGCATTCCATTCAAGAAATGGATTTTAACCCATCCCCCTCCCCAATATCCTTCGTGGAAGACTAGATATTCAAAATGCATTTTAACATTTTTCTCAATTCTCATTCTCAATCCTTTTCTTTACTACCTCTCTCTGTTTCTCTATTCAATGTGATAAACTATTGCATAGTATTTGCTACGTACTAGGACCTGTACAGAAATTAGGAATTAGGACAGAAAACATATCTTTTCTATTGATATTTGGTAGAGGCCAATATCCCATACTAGAGATAATGTAACTGAGGTTCAGGCAAGTTAAATAACTAGCCTAAACTCACACAGTGAACAAGCAGCAAGGTCAATTGGAAGTACACCCAACAGCAACACAGGTTATGACATTTCTTAAAGCTTTTCATCAACCTGCCCACTTCAGCACCTCTATCTTCCTTAGTCTGTTTTCCTCTTGCTCTGTGTCTTTTGTCTCTAGCCAAAAATTCCCTATTTAATTAAAATTCTAGCAATCTAATCTGTATCCTCCACTTCCCCCCCCCTCAATCCACTCTCCCAAGGTGCTAGAAGAAGGACCTGGGCTATTAGCCAGCTTGAAGTCTCCTTTAGAAAGCTGGGTGGAGAAGCAAGGGAAGGCTTTAGGGAAGGTTCTGTGAATACCCATGGGTCATGGATGCTTTTATCCCTGCTAAAGAGAATTTTTTTTTTACCCTCTGTTTAAGAGCCAAAGAATATTAAAAACATAACTAGGAACAGTGGTGCATGCCTGTAATCTGAGTGACTTGAGAGGCTGAGACAGAGGGCTCACAAGTGGAGACCATGCGCAACAGAATGCCAGAGTGAGGACTGAAGCCAAGAACCAGGGAGAGTGGGTTACAGTGAGTCGGACACGTGGTCCTACTCCTTCTCACTCTTTCCTTTCTCTATGACCTTCTGCTCCTTTTCCCTGGGAAGACTCCAGGTGTCACCATGGAAACAATAATGGGGGTGAAGATGATTTATTATTGATCATATGAGGAAGGACTCAGAGAGCAAATAAATATAGAAAAAAAAATAGAACACAGAGAGGCTACCTACTTTAGTACTGTCAAAGTGGAGTAAAGAGCTTTTGAAGTTATAAGGTTTTCTGTTCCATCAAAGGCTCAAATAAAATTAAAGTAAAATACAGTGAGGCTGTCTTCAAATCCAGAGAACTCAAGCTTTTATTTTTGTTTTTCACAATAGTATCTAATAAAATAAGTACTCAATAACTTTTGATTTTTGATTTCCAGTCCAGAATCCTATTTTGATGTTTTTTATTTTATTTCATTTTTTTTCTCCCTGGACCCATATTCTTACAGGATAAACACCAGTGCTAGGAGAAAAACATACATAAATCTACTTTGCTTCTAAGTCAGACTGATTCAGTATCCATCTTCAAGAAGAAAATTTATTATTATTTTTCAAATTATAATATTCTAGCACACTTTGATATTCATGACCCTTGGGCCTTTTGAAGTGCTAAATAACATACAATCATTTTTTTTTAAATTAAAACTCCTGCATTTGGCTTTAAGAAATCATTGCTTTTGCTGTGTGTTCGAAGCAACCCTGGTATGTGGAGGAATTAGGAGAAAAAACATATCTTGTCCACTGACATTTGTAAATTTCGGAATAGAAACCAAACAGAATGCAGTTTAATTTTATATGCAGAAATATGATCAAGGGAAAGTTTAAATAGGTGATTCTAGCACTGGCTTTACAAGTAAATGTTGGACAATTTCAACAACTCTAAGAAAACCTCTGTTCTTCTCTTGGTCCCTTGATTCCTGAAATACAAAGAAATCCTACTTCTAATGATAGCAAGAATTTCTATTATTTTCCTAGAAATGAATTTTAACAGAAAGCAATGAGAAAGCATTTCTGTCAGGGAAAATAGTGAGAATAGATAAAATTTTGTGTCACATGACCCACTGAAAATGTTTAAGGCCACCACCAAATCAATAGTGTTTCACTAATTTAAAAGTAGTGGAGTTTTTTGAGAGAGATAAGGGTGGTCTCTTGATATGGTATTTGACCAAAACATAAATGAGTAATGTCTTATGTCCATATTTTGTAATATTTGCTCCACTGTCAGGAAATCCTGCATTATACTTGGCAGTTGTACCTATACTCTGAAATTCTCATATCAAAATTTTGTGTGAAAACTCTAAGATAACACTGGAATGATTATTTTTAGTTTTAGAGGCAAATATTCAACCTCTATACATTAGTCATCTTTTCATCTCCATGACCAAAATTCCTGACAGGAACACCTTAGAAGAGAAAAGATTTAGTTGGGCTTATGGTGTCAGAGCTTCTCTGGACTGCTACAAGGTATCATGGCAGAAGGGCATGGCAAAGAAAGTTGCTCAGTTCCTGGCATGGGTGGCGGAATGGGGGAGGGGGGCGGGGAAGACAGACTGACAGCCAGAAGGGGGCCAGGCTAGAACAGATAGAGTCCCCAAGGACATGCTCCCCACCCCCTATGGCCTACTTTCTCCAGCCATGTCCCATCTGCCTATCTTTTTTTTTTTTTTTTTAAACCACTTTCTAGTACAACCATTGAAATTATTAATCCTCTGCTGAGGTCAGACCCTCATGATCCAATCTTTTACCACTGAAAATTGCTGTGCTGCCTGACACATGGGGGACATTCTAAATGTTAAGCATAATACCTTGTATGCTTTTTTATTCTGGAAATAAAACATTAACAGGGTTAATTATGTAGAATATGTAGAATAGATATGCAGATGTTATATCTAATATTTGTTTTCTTTTTAAAGTTTTAAATACCTGAACTTTCTTTTCACATTTGACTCCAGAATATCCAGTCCGGCAAGAACACACATTGGGAAATGCACATCTGCCTCCATAAAGACATTTTTGATTACAAATTGCTGCAATACACAAATTTTTATAATTAACATCTTTTGATAGTAAATGCTTGTGACATATCCTGTTTTAGTGGTTTAAAGATATTTGATCAATTGTAGTAATGGCCATTGATACAGTCATAAGAAGCTGTCATATAACACATGTATACATGTATTGAAACATAACATGATACTTCATAAATGTATCAGTTAAAAATATATAAAATGAATGATTTTTGACCATAAAAATAAAAATAATGTAAGCAAAATATGTATCCTTAATTTTTCCAGTGATTATATTAACAGAAAATAAGCAGGTGAAAATAATCTATTAGTGAATCATCCATGGATCTCTCTCTCTCACACACACACACACACACACACACACACACACACACACACGAAAAAACAAAACACCCTAAATTCAGACAATATTTTTACAATTCTATAAAGGTATTATTGAAATAAGCCAAATTTCTTTCATTTTTTTTTCAGTACTGAGGGTTGGGGGTACTCAATCACTGAACTACACTCCCCCCTTTTCATTTTATTATTTTTTAAAATTTGAGACAGTATTTTGCTAATTTGCTAAGACTAGCCTCAAACATGTTTTCCTCCTGCCTCAGACGCCTGAGTTACTGGGATTACAGATGTGTCTCACCATGCCCAGCTTTACTGGCTACTTTTTAGAGTACTTGAAATACCTGTATTTATTTTTTACAAAGAGTTCAAATAGAAGATAGTATTTATAACTTTCTTTTTAAAAGCTTGGAAAAGATTTAAAAGAGACAATTCAGGACTGGTTTTTGTATAAAAAAAACCAGAAATTTTTATATAATATCCTCGACTATTTAATGTACAACAACTGTTGGAAACTTAAACTTATGACACTGTACTAGAAATGTCTTTCTTGAAATATCTTCCAAGGCCATTCTAACCACACACACACACACACACAAACACACACACACCCCAATCTGCCTATTTATTTTTCTATCATCTACCATTAAAAATGTTTTTTATACTTATAAATAATTAAATGTGCAACATAAAGGGAAAGATTAAGTAAATTATGATATTTATATTATGGAACCTAATGTGTGGTTTAACATTATGTTCTTTTAGGACCTAGTAAACGGTTTGAAGTGATATTGAGTGAAAATGAGCAGACTATAAAATGACATACAATACAATTGCTTTTCATAGGAGTGATACTACTTCAATGTCTCATAATAAAAGCTTAAACATTTCAAGAATAATATTCCCTTTGATATAAATGCAACACTGACAGCTATGTTTTCATCAGGGCTGCCATATGTAGTCAGCTGGGTTGTGTGCTGCACAAGTCCTCCATAGCTGAGGAGGCACTCTTAGCCATCATACATTGAAATAGTTATTATAACAATTTTCCAACAGATGGCAGTAACACACATGTTTAGGTAACAGTCAATATATTTAAGACAAATTTCTGGACAAGCAATTTTGAGGAAGTTGATGTTAGTTTGTTTTAAATTTACATAAAGATGCTTCAGTGTACTTGAATCTGTGCACACACACAAAAAAACTCAATCTATGATCACTCGGGTCTATTTCCACATCCCTGTGCTTTTAGCATCTTCTCATCTTTCTCATGATCTGCATAGACTACTCTCCAGAATGAGCAACCCAGGTTGAGGTTGATTGTTCTTCCATTCTAGCTATTTATCATGTCTAACTTCCAATCACAATTATCAATTTTTGAGCACACATTTCTTATGTTAAGTACTTGTCCTCAATAGTACTTTGATATATTTTCTAAATAAGAAATAATAAATTATAGTTACAATTACAAACACAATTACGGCTAAGAGTCATTAAATGCAAAATTTCTGATGCAGGAAAACCATAGTGTGGTTCATAAGACATTTTCTTTCAAAGAGACTTATTTCGAGTAAAAGGCATAATTATGTATCAATTATAAATTTCAACTGGCCAGCAAATTTGAAATTATGTAATTATTGATCTTTGAAGGTATTTTTGGAGGCCTTCACATTTTTCCCATTAAGCTAATCTTTGTTAATATTTTAACATGTTATTTAAAGTTTTCAGAAATTTCAAATGTGGATAAATTTTATTTTTTCTATAGCCCAAGATTTACTTTATGAATAAATATGGATGGAAATGCATAAAATACTAAAAAAATAACATAAGATAATTCTGGGTGGTGAAATTTGGAGTGATTAAGTTTTTGCTATTTTTTCCATAATTTCTAAGATTTCCATTATAGGTGTATATTTATCCTATAACAAATAACATTTGAACTTCTGCATATTAAACTTTCCTTAGTCCCATCTAAGGAAACTGCACTGGCAACCCACAGAACATAATTTGAAACCATGCCACAAAAAATTATATATTATATCATACTTTTTTTTATAAGTAAATATAAAATTGAGTAATTTTTTTTTATTTCTAAAGTCATTTAGGGGGATAGTTATGGGGCTTGAACACAGGGTGCTTAACCACTGTGCCATATCCCCCAGCCCTTATTTATCTATTTATTTCATTTTGAGACAGGGTCTCACTAAATTACCTAGGGCCTCCCTAACTGCTGGGGCTGGCCTTGAGCTTACAATCCATCTTCCTCAGTTTCCTGAGTCACTGGGACTATAGCCATGAGCCACCATGCCCAGCTGTAAAATAATTTTTTAAAAGAATCAGTATTCTGTAGTTTTTTCCATTATGGATTTCTCCTAAAGTCATATTTAATTATTATAATGGGTTCCAATATGAATATATCGTAGAAAAAAATCCTATGGGCTTACGTATTTGACACTGCACTCCTTCCCAGGTGGGAGGACAGTGGCAGATGCTGGGGGCAATGCACTCACCACCGTTTTTACATTTCTGAAAGCAAATAGCTACAAATAGAAATATAAACAAGTTAAAATTTTACATTACTACTCAAATCTTATCATAAACCACATGAATTTTAATTAAAGAAAAACAGTTAAAAGTCAATGGATATTTTATCAAAGAACATTTTCCAACGTTACTCTGTAGTCCTAGAAAGTGTGATTGTAATGGTTGTGCAATAATATACATTCCATTATTTGAAAGTATTGTGGTATGTTTCCTTCAATTGTTGGACATATATGTTACTTCTCATTTTTCACCTTGATCTATGCACTATAATTGCTTCTAATTTAGAGTAATTTTACAGAAAGGATAAAAGGAAATATTTGAATGAGAAGTGCCATCATCTCAGGTACTAATCAGTCTGAGAGGCAGTAGGATCTCTCACTTGAAAAAGTCTGAATTGCGTGGTTTCTTTTGATGCCAAGGAATCCACAGTTTTGTAAACTGCCCACTGAGCCCTACTTCAGTTTAGGAGAATATAATATAAAGACTTTGTTATTTATCCTGGGCAAACGGTAGGAAACTAGGAAATACAATGTACCACTTCCTCTGCTGACCTGAAAAACTAGGTTCAGAGAACTTCTCATTTTATTCTATTTCAAAGATATCTTCTAATACAGGAATGAATACACCAAAATTAAAACAAATAAAAACAAAGAAAACTTTTTTTTTGTCTTATATTTTGCTTAATCTTCCCACAAAGGATGTAGACATTGTTTTTTTTAAGATATCTATCTTTTTTAAAAATGTTATTGTATTTTCTTATACCTTTATTTAATTTATTTATTTTTATTTGGTGCTGAGAATTAAATCTAGTGCCTCAAACATGCTAGGCAAGTGCTCTAACACTGAGAAAAAACAGCAGCCCCGACTTTGGCATTTTAAGAGTATTCTTCTTACGTATATTGCATCTTTTCCCACTCCAACCGGAAGAGCAGGAGCAAATGTTTGGTCCCACACATTTGCCTCCATTCATGCACATGGGATCACAGATGCCTTGAGGGGAAACATGAAATATTAGCTTTAAATGGCAACAGTTTTATTTGCTTTACCTGTAGTCTGCATATAGGTTTAGTAGTGTCTTACTTTTTTGGCATCTCCTACCAGTGTATCCTTCACGGCAGACACACACATTATTTCTCATGCAGTGGCCACCATTCTTGCAGGGAGGGTGACAGATAGCTAAAAGAACACATGGCAGCAATGTGTGAATATTACATATTCGGTTATTATGTACTGCATATTGCATCCTGTGCTTGCTATCTATGGGGCCATAAGGCAGAGGAATGTGCTATTAAAATAAAAGATTACAACTACAAGTCATTAAAACTGTCCTTTCTATATCATAAAATATGATGCTTATAGCCATAAGCTGCTAGTGGGTTAGCACAATTTGAAATATATGAAAGTAGTATTCATAACAAATGAAGTCCTCAGTATTATAGTATATATATTATGAACCTTTGCTTTGGTCTGGTCTTACCATACTGTGAAGTAAATGAAGCATAAAATGATCAGGACACAACCAAGAAAATAAATCAGAACTTACCTCAAAATAAGAATGTTTTGCTCTTTTGGAAATCAGAAAAATCTCTACAATTTGTCACATATCACAAAAATATCAAAAAACTTTAACTTTTGAATACTTTTGATGCAGTTTAATGTGACTGTTCTTGTGAATCCTTGATAGGATCTTTTGACAATAATTCTTAGTGGTTGTTAGGAATATTTCTTCAAAACTTATAATTTACTAGTATCGTCTATTTTTAGGATTCTATCTCATGAAATTCAGAGGTTGAGTTATTTTATGAAAGGATTAACTTAAGTGTAGGTTTTTCTTTTTTTCTTTCACTTCTTTTTTTTTCCTCCTGGGAATAAAATCCAGAGCTTGTACATGCTAAGCACATGCTCTAACTCTTAGCTACACCACCACTAAATGCAGTTATGCTTTTCTCCTTCTTTTCTTCCTTCTCTTCCTCTTTCCCTCCCTCCCTCCCTCTCTTCTTCCTTCCTTCCTTCCTTCCATCCTTCCTTTCTTATTAATATGATACAGAAATGCCTGAAAATTTTTAAATTCAATTTTTCCTTGAATGATAGTTAAGTGTATTTTAGTTTGTATTTTTAAAATTAATTTCAAATTGACAGGTTTTAGTAATGGGACTGTCATTACCAAAAGACTTGAATTCCAGTTTGAATTAGACCCACCTTATTAGCTGCTTTCTTCACTTCTAAAGACTGTAAGAAAAATCTCACTGACATCAAATGGATTTATAAATAAAAAGCACTTCAAGTACAAAAAAACAATACAAATGGATGCTTTTAGAGAATGGATAGTTTCCACTACGTTATACTGAGCCTCTTCTGGCTCATGCTTGACTCTACTTTCTCTGATATTTTATGAATACTTTCTTATTTTTTAAAGCATTTGTTCAACAGTCTTTATTGAAGCATGGAAAAGAAAACAGTGACAGTAACCTGTCATTAGCTATGACACGGAGTTAGGTTAGATTATAGATTATTTCTCCCAATTTTTCACTCTTGTTTAGCCATGCCTTCTTCCAGGTGACTTTGTACCCACCACATTGGAGGTGGGGTTTATTTTCTCATCCTGTAGTTATTGGGTTTTGCCACAGGACTTAATTTGACCATTGGCCTGAGAGCAGACATGATATAAGCAGACTCTCTAAATATTCAGGGTAGTTTGCCTTGGCCTCTTGCTCTCCTGACCTTTGCTTGAGAAAGGCATACACCAGATAGATGTGGGTCTCTGGAGGAAGACAGACAGGTGAAGCAGTCTACAGTCAAGTCCAGACAACCTGTATTGTTTGTGAGTCAGGGAAATAAATGCATATTGCTGGACACTGAGATTTGGGGGATTGTTTGTTACACATCAAATACTGACTGATAAAAAACCTACACATGGAGAATTATAAACAGGTATATGTTATGTTTTATTAGTGGTAGAATGTTCTTATGTGTTCTCTTTCCCATTCTTTACATAATTTAATATGATTTGTATTTATTAGAAAAAAAGGTCTTTTTTTTTCCACTACAGAAGCACCATAGTAAATACCTATGATTGGGAACTTAACACTAAAATAATAAACCCCAAGTTGCTTATGGTATACAGCCTTATAACAATTCACAAAGTCTTGAGTGTAGAGACAAATACATTTATACAAAAAGCACATATGATTGAAATAATATATATAAAGAGAATAAAATTTGAACTTAGTCATCTAGCCATCATCCCAGGTTAGAAAAGGAATTTTAGGAGAAAACCAACCCTCCTACCAGATTCTTCAGGCCTCAGATGGTTCTCCCAACAATGCCCAGGTTGAACCAAGTAACTGAGGATTTTAGGAGGTGAAGGAAACTGGAAGATGTGGTTATACATCTTCAGCCATACACTTTAACCCTGACATTTTTTTTAAAGAATAGTATAATAATATTGTGATGTTCCCAGCCAAATTTTTGTCTTCCTCTTTTGAAATTCTATTGTACAAACAGTCCCTCGTATTTACTTTTAATCACATTTTGCCTAATTTTATTCAACTTCTTTTGATGTGTGTCATCTTCCCTGCCCAACATTTGGACTCACAGTGGATATAATGTAATAGTGTTTAGGTTAAACCTGAAAGCCAGGAAATATGAAGCCTGAAGATTTACAGGAAGTTGTCAAAGTCTATGCCAGCTAGGAAGTTGCAACAGGGGGCAATTCTCATACTTGCTCTTATCTCACTATAGCAACCTGCTGTTGAAAAAGGCATATGTTCCATAGATACTTTTTCGTTCAACTAAATTACTTAGAGATTCCCTCTTTTATCTAGTTTCACAGTTGGCATATAGTTTTGAGAAGTTTTCTATATCTTACATCTGAAATTAGCAAGGCACATGTAAGCTTTTCATTTCTCTCCTTATTTTTTCTACTCAGAATTACACTTATAATTCTTCACCATGGATTTAATTGCAATCTCTTAGCTTCTAAGATTTGCCTACTTAGTCTTTGCTTCCTCCATTTCACAATGGAGGAAATATGGATGAGAGGATATGTTCTCTAGGCCCATATGTCTTGTGTTTGAGTGATGGTTTCTTCTCTACTTCAGTTTCATCTTAAGAATCCTAGCCAACTTCCAAATTAAAAAATAATAAGAATTGGAAATCAAATTCTATCCTTGCTAGGAAAGTATAAATTTTATGAATTAAATTATGATGATATGCTTATATGTTCTGTACTAAAAAGTTAGCTCTATATTTTGTGTAACTCAAAATATGAAGATAGAGAAAATATATTTTTAAAAATTTATTGACATTAATTCCTACCTATACTCTCACCCTCAAGACATTCCCATTGCTCTGAAGAAAGCCCTACAGCATTAACTATTTGAAGGAAATAATGGGTCACAAAGAATATGATGCATTTTTATGTCTCCACACCATCTTGCAGAGAGCTGTGCATAGATGATTCTTCATAAATGTTTAATGAAACTAAAGTCAAGAGAGATTGTGGGAAATCAATAGACAGTAGCTTATAAATCAAACATTTTTGCTATGACGGCAAGTAAAATGATATAATTTCACTGGAAACTGCATGAAAACTTCGCTTATTGGTTTCATATCTTTGTTATATAAAGCACTGATAAATGCCAAGGTTGTAAGCCTAACATACATTGACTAACTAAAACCATTTTACTTAATAACTCCAATACCCTTTGTATGAGCTGGTCATTTGATGGCTAGACCTGCAGCATCACAATAAATAGAAGAAACAAATAGCAGCTTCCACTTTCAAACTTCTCTAATGTTTTCTCAAAGCTCTATTGATGTCTAACATTCCATTTGACTTTTTGACTTATCAAGAAAGAATCATTACCATTCTGACAGTGTGCACCAAAAAATCCATTCGGGCAGAGGCAAGCGTTTGGCTTGTAACAGGAGCCACCATTGAGGCAAACAGGGTCACACAAAGCTAATGAACAGCAAAAGGGAAAGAGATCATAAAAGTATTATTATTTTAAAAATTAAATTTTAAAAGGAAAGCTGCACAGAAATGGAGCTCCATACAAAATGGAGCACCTATAATTCATTAGACCTTGCCAAACATAAGAGGCATGAAATAACTGCATAATAGCTTTCAAAGTGTATTCATTAAGTTTACAAATAATATTAAACTTAGAATGTGGAGTGTGTGAGTAGAATGTAGAATGCCCTTGGTAAGCTCAAAAAAAAAAAAAGACTAAGTTAAGAGCACACGATTCATTCAATAGCACTAATGAGATGACTTGTAACCTGCTGGAACCAGTGGGGCTAAGTGTACCTCTCTGTCTCCTTCCCAAATGAAACAGGGACACTACTCAGGTCCCAGCACTCTCAAAAACATTTCTTTGTATTTACTCTATTACCTTTATTTTGTTTAAAAAGCACCCCATTCCATTTTTCAGCGTATTCCAAAGTCTACTAGAATTTTATTTTCTTCCAAACTCCATTTGCCAGAACTGATTTCCATCTTTGCTTTCAAGGAACTGTGCTTCAATGATATTACTTATCATAACCCAACTTGTCCTGGTCTTGTGTTTTTTACAGCTGTGTCCCAGGTCTCCTTAACTATCAATATTCTACTTGAAATGAGGGCAAAATCAAATTGATCTTTGTTTCCCTTTGCGTCATGCTTCACATACAGTTGGCAAACTATGAATGTTGAATTAAATTTTCATTGAGAAAAGTCCATTAGAATAACTGCCAATTAATTAAACATGAAAAACCATAAATATTTCTGCCAAAGAAGCGAATCTGATATTGTGATAAATAAATGGAATAACAGGATGGTTGTCTGTATAACTAAGAATTGACTGGATGTTTAATGAAATAGGGTGTTTATGGTTGGATAACAATAAAGCTATAAGACATAATCCAGTCCAATATAAGAAGATGAAAGTTACTTATCAGATCAGTTTCATTTCTTAGATGCAAGTCTTTAGAACATCGGCACATTTTAAATTTCTTTTAACGGACACATTCATTGCAAACAACTCTGATTTTACCTGTACTACAGGTGGGTCCATACCAACCAGGCTTGCATTGACAAACATCTGGTGCAAGACATGCACCTCCATTTTCACAGTGTCTGTTGCAAACCACTAAGACCCATAGTGAAGATAAAAGAAAGACAAGTTAGGCGAAGAATGCTCACCACCACTCTAACTATTATATAATTATCTCATGACTGCCAAATGTTTTTGCTAATGAATAAAATGGGAATAATTTATACTTTGGCTTTAAATGCTTTTCCCTTTTCATATTCAGTTATTTTCTCACTAATAGAGTTGGGGATAGGAGAAAACCATTGAACTGCACAGTCAACAAAATTGGCTCTTAGGGGAAATTATTAGCTACTGATGAAAGTGACTATAGACATAAATGAAATGAGATAAATTTATTTGCAAATGAGCACATTTTAATTCATCTTATCTCAAAGGTAGGTTTAAGAATAGTTATTTCTTAGAACAAACTGCTCCCAGTGCTACCCAGGATGAAAGACTGTTTTTTACTTAGGGTTTGGGTTCATTCCATTTAGTGTTAAAGAGAAGTTCATCAAAGCAGCAAGTTCATTATAGCAGACTGCAAGGGAGCTTGGCTTACTTATTTCACACCTCGATCCCACAAAACCATAAGCACAAGTACAGAGATTGCCAGGCAAGCACGTGCCACCATGTTGACAAGGTGGGCTACAATGTTCTGCAGGAACAGATTACATTATTAAGTCAGGTTCTTAATAATAATCACAATGAATTATCCATTTATATTTAAGAAGCACAGTCACAATAAAGCCTATTGTAAGAGCAGTTTATAATGACTTCAGTTCTCTTTGACAATGAGATTCAGCTCTGAGGGACTGACTGTGTGGATTCACACTCTGAAACCCTCACCAGGTATCAGCATGTTTGGGTTTATAAAATAAATCTAGAAAATGCAACACAGACAGTTGTGTAAAAGGTTTATAAAAATTTGGTTAACTGAATGGAAACATATCATCTTAGGCTTCTTCTGTAAAATGAATCTTGGACTTACATATTTCTACCCTAAAAAAAGAATATTTCTATATTTACATGGCTATCACCACAGGCTATTGTTGAAAGTTTCAGTTCGACCTAAAAAATTTAGTTTGTTAATTTTTTGCTTGCCTTGTCATTAAAGCATTTAACATGACTCAGTTTATTAGTAATCATATGTACCATCTACCAAAATACATTGTTTTAAAAAAAACTATTTTAAAAATATCAACTAACTCATTTCTTTAAAGTATTACCTAGCTTTAGGAATTCTATTTCATACATTCTCCACTTAATATTTCACCTAAAGTCATGCAAATTATATGGCTAAAGATGTATTTTTAAAATTAATTTTTTAAGTTTCTTCTTATTACCACCTTATATCTTTTTATTTGTAGAGATATGATACCCTAAAACCAAATCTTCAAAAAATTTCAGAAGATAATTTCACCAAAGAAAAGCTACTATTCTTTGGATCTCTGATTTCTGAAACTTTAAGTTTTTAAAATTTTCAAATGAATTGTTTTTAGTGAACACTTAAAAAGTGGACTCTTTCACCAATATTAATAACTACATATTAGTATATATACAGTGAAACTGAACTAATAAAAGCCTATTAGAGAAAAATAATATTTTATTTTAACCCTATTAGTTGATTTTTCAATTTGGATTACCACCTTCATTGCAGGTTGTTCCACCATATCCTGGAGGACATTTGCAGACATTAGGCTTTGTGCATTTCCCATGGTTTTTGCAAGCAGGCTGACATACAGCTGTATAAAATAAACCCATTTAGAAATATCAATTATCAAGTAAAATTCATTTTTCAATTTAATGAATGATACACCTACCAGTTTGGCAGTTAGAACCAGTATAACCTGGTCTGCATTTGCATATGTTTGGTGCCACACATTCCCTGCTCCTTCCACATGGATGTCTACAAATGGCTGCAAAAATCAAGGAGAAATGGCTGAACCATTGACATGATATATACATGCTGCTCAATTATTTACTTATAATGAAATTTAAAATTTCTCAAATTGTAACATTTTGATAAGGTATTAAATAATGACCATTCACCCTTAAAATGGTCTTCTTAATATTTTAAACCATTAGAATGACTGAGGAAAATCGATTTTAGAGTAAGAAAGAAGTGCCAAATGTAATAATTACTCCCAAGATGGTGCCTGTTAGAGGTAGAACCTAACCCTACCTAAAATTATAGTCTTTTTTCAGGGGGCAATGAAATTTCACATATTAATCAGCTAAATGTTAATAAATAATAAGGATAATCAGATTTTCAAAGAACACATCATGAGGTTGATTCCTTAAGCTTCTCTACTACCTGATATATTCTACTGGACATTTAACACTTCCTGCGGTATCTAATATACATGAAATTGTGTTTTTTTTTTTCATTTGTTACATTTGTTAAGGAATTCCTATAGGTATTATATAATATAAGTATTGAGAGTTATTATTCTTATGAAAAAAAAGAAGAAAAACAAATTTCCTTTAGGTAATATGGGAAACAAGAATATTCCAACAACTGTCTCACTTAATTTTGGTCTCAAATAAAACAAAACACAAAACAAAACAAGAACATCTACTCATATCAACAGCAACAATAAAAACCAGACTCTAAATTATAGGACTCAAAAATTTGATTTGTATCAGATAAAACAATGTTAATAATTGTGGAAAGATATAAAAATACTTGTAAAATTAAAATGATGCAAAACTTGTTTAAGACTCCAAAGAATTGGAGGAATTACAGAGACAACTGTATAAGTTGCAAATAAGTAAATAGATCAGAAAGAGTAATTTAAAATGGTAACTGTGCATTTTGAACTAAAAATAACTCAGGCCACAATGTTAATCAGATCTATATTGACATCCTTGTTTTTTTTTTTTTTCATTACTTGCTTAATAACAGGACAGTCAGTCCCTCAAAACTCCACTATCTCATCTATCTATTGGGAACAATAACACTTATTATATGGAGTTGTTGTTGATCATATATAACTGATACAGAATGTTTCTGAAGACCTTGGGACAGAGTAGGTACTCAATAAATATATTTATATATCATATTGTTGTGATAGTATATAATATTAACACTTTAAATAAGAAACTTAGAAAACCCACTTTTGCTTCTTTTTTTCAAAACATGTTGAACAAAGTGGAAGGAAGAGAAATTAGTAAGTGGAAAAGTGAATCTTCTTAGTGACTAAAACTGGAATGAGGTAGTTTTCTCTGTATCTTCTGAAAAATTTTCATAGTACCTCTGCAATTGACACCATCTCCATAATACCCAGTGGGGCAGCGTCCACACTTGAAGTGGCCACCTGTGGTTGGCACACAGGAAACACCAAGAAAACAAAGCGACTCAGCACAAGTCGATATTTCGGTTGACCCAAATTTCTGTGGTAAAATAGTGACTGCTTTAGTAACTGATGCTACAAACTCATCTTCGTCATGTGTGTAACCTTGCAAAGAACTGTTAATGAGAGAATGATATTCTCCTGTCTCTATTTGGATGGTGCTGTGGAAAATATCCCTCCCTTGGCCACGAGAACTGTTGGGATTAATGCTTAAAGAATGGCTGTTGTTTGTAGGATCTTCCAATTCATCCACAGTGAGATCTGCACTGAGAATATGATCCACATGTTCATAACCAGGTATCTGTTGAGAAACAGGCTTCTTTGAAGTATCCATCTGAGTTGTAATTGATTTCGGTGACAGGTAGGAGATGTTCATTGTACTCAAGAACCTTTTGAATGGAGGAGGACTAGGGGTAAAGCTTGCACCAGTTAGTGAATGCTCTGTTGACAGTGGCTGAAAATTCAAGTCTAACAACAAAAAAAGAAATAAAAATGTTAGTCAACAGCATTTATTAATGTTCTGCTCTACCCACAGTATTTGGCATTAAGTTATTCATGCCTTCATTTAGCATCTACATGTGTAACACTATATGAGGAGTCACAAAGTAAAGGGAAGTCATGACACTGCTCCTGACTTCAAGGATCTTATATGGCTACCTGTTGGGGCACTCAAGATAGCACAGAATAGTAGCTAGCATGAAAGTTAAAGTATAATAATTAGTAAGATTTTCTGAAATCACCTTAAATGATACTATCATTTGGCTGTTACATGACATGAGTGAATGCATTTTTCCAGAATATGATCCAGAGGATTCAATAGATAAGCAAAAAAAAAAAAAAGTGAATATATTTGTCACTCTATTTCAACTAAAATCACTACTACTTACTTGAGACATTTCTGCTTTTTGGCTTAATGTCATTTTCTCCCTGTTTGGCACTTTTACCATCCTCTTCCATAATTACACTTTTGTGAGACCTTGTGAGAACTGCAATTTGTGTACTAAGTTCATTTAAAAACTCTATTTCAGCTGTAAGTGGGTACACAAAAAACAGAAACAAATCAGAATAAAAATATCACAAAACCAAAGCATCATGAATAAAAACATACAAGAACAAATAAACACATATAATACACATGTCACATGGAATTCTTTTGCATCTTAGATTAAAGAATCAATTTTGATATCCTCTCATTAGCAAACCCTCTGGTATAGACTGAATTGAGTGCCTCAAAATTCATATGTCAAAGCCCTAACTCTACACGGCTGTATTTAGAGACAGGAGGCGGGAAGTGATTAGGTTACAGGAGGTTAGAAGAATGAGGCTCTGGTCCAATAGGTTTGTTGGCCTATGAAAAGGAAAAGACTCCAGGAGAGCACACAGAGAGAGGGCCCAGTGGGGGCAGCTTTCTGTTGGCCAGTAAGAAAGTCTCAACCCAAACCAGCCAAGCCAGCAACTTCATCTTGAACTTCCAGCCTCCAGAACTATGAGAAACAAAGTTCTACTGTTTGAGATTTACCACTCAGTCTGTGGGATTCTGTAACGGCAGCCTGATCTGAGTAAGAAAGCTTTCTTCAGTAGTCCCAACACACCAAATCCATCTGGTCCACCTAGGTTCTTTCACAGGACTGTCCTTTGTACTATTGACTCTTGTGCATGTCTTTCTCCTACTGGTTACCAATAACCTCAAGAATACAAACCCTGCTCTACTTACTTTTGGGGTGTGGGGGTGGGGGAGGTACGGAGATTGAACTCAGGGGCACTTGGCCACTGAGCCACATCCCCATCCCTATTTTGTATTTTATTTAGACACAAGGTTTCACTGAATTGCTTAGAGCCTCATCTTTGCTGAGGCTGGCTTTGAACTTTCAGTCCTCCTGCCTCAGCCTCCTGAGACACTGGGATTACAGGCATGCACCACCATACCCAGTTCTGCTTATTTTTATATTCCTTAAATTCTGGTGCCTGCCATAACTAAGTAATCACCAACAACCAATTCTTCTGCAGCAATAAGCATATTTGTGAAATACACAAATATCTCTGACAAGGTTAAGAAAGCTCTGAGTCACTCATGTGTAATGGGGTTAGGTTTAATTGTCACCTTGATATAAGTTTTACTGAGGGAACAATCCTCTTTGTTTGGAAAGGAAGGATGTTAGTCAGAGAGCAGAAAGTGTTAATTTTAGGAACTGGATACTGAAGGAGAAATGCAAGCAGTTGAAGTAGTGAGGAATCCTCTTACCCTCTGCCCTCTGTTCCTCAGAGCTGTCATCTCCAGTGCTAGACACATTCGACCCAATTTGAAGCTTAAGGTGATATTATGTCATTAGTATCTATTTTTCATCAGAGTAGATCTCATTAAATTACACCAAAGATGTAATTCTTTGATTTTGTTTTCTATAACTTACCTTTCTCTTTTAATCTTTTAAAATATTGATGTCCACCTTTTTTTTGGTCTTCTTTCCTCCATATTCTCCCTGGGTAATGTCACCTCATAGCTGATGACCTTAATAACTGTATATTTAACTTAGTTCTCTCTGCTGAGCTTCATGTGGGTATTCCATTGTCCTTTAGTCTTTTAGTAACCAAACTGAATTCACTATAATTCTTCTCCAAAACCATTACTTCTTCGTGTATATTTAATCAGATCAACCTGCCATAACAAAATACCATAGACTGGGTGACCTAAACAACAGAAATTCAGTTCCTTACTGGTTTGGAGGCTGGAAAGCTCTGGATGAAAGGTGCTGGCCTGTTTTGTTTTGTGTGAGGACCTTCTCCATGTATTGGAGATAGACATGCTCCCAATGTGTTCTCACCTGGCAGAGAGAGTTATCTGGTGAGCTGGGCATGGTGGTACAATGCTATAAAGCCAGCTATCTGGGAGGCTGAGACAGGAAGATTGCTAAGTGTGAAGGCAGCTTGATCACCTGGGGAACCCTGCCTCAAAATAAAAAATATAAAAGTTGGAGATGAAGCTCAGAGACAGAAAGATCCCTGGTCCAATCGCCAGTTCAATCAAAAAAAAAAGGAGAGAGAGAAAAAGAATTCTCTGGTGTTTCTCCTTATAAAACACTAATCCTATTGGATTAGGACTCTACTTTTATCACCTCCTACAACCCTATGAACTTCAGTGTTGGAATTTTAGTGGAATGTAGTTCAGTCCACAACAATGTGAGTGCTAATTCCACATACCATTCACCTAAATCAAATACCTGCAACTAAATGACTCTCTTTCCTACGCTAATCCAGTTACTGACCAAGCCAAGTACTATCAGCTTGCTTCTTTAGCATCTCTTTCATTTCTCACTATCTTACCTTAAGGCAGAATATCTTCATCTCTCCCTACATATTTGAAATACTATCTTGGCTTTGCTTTTCTTCCCACCTTCAGGCTTACACATTTCTTTACCCACAGATGGTCTATTGTCTATATTACTTGAGTAAAATTTCTCAAATATAAGTCTTAACATGTTTCTCTCTTATTTCAAAACTTTAAGGGACTGCTGCTGGTCTAAATGCTGGCTACCTCTCTAGCTTCAACCCCTGCAGCAGCTCTTCGGGCCTGTGGTCCTCCAGGCACACTGAATTGTTCAGTGCTCAGGATGTGCTGTGATATTACATGGCCCTGGGCTTTTGCTCAGGCTATTTCTTCTTCCTGCAATGCTTTTCACCCCCTTGATCTCATACATTAGATTCAGCTGTTGTATATCTACTATAGTCTAGATATCTCCTTTTTAAAGTTTTTCATTATTCCTCCAGGTAAACACAACACATCCTGTAAGATTCCAGCTAGTCCCTCTTCTATCACAAGACACAGAATATTATATTCTACCAAAGGATTAGTGCTATTGCACCCTAACCCCTTAAGTCAGAGGACATGTCTGATATATTTCTGCATCCCATTCATCTAGTGTATTGCACAACACTTAATGCATATATACCAAATAAGTGTGTAAGAAAGAGAATGGAATTGAGTGATTTGAGCTAATTAAATGCAGCAGAAAACATCTCACAGCAGAAAATAAACCTTTACCATGACAGGTTTTCCCATCACCATAAAATCCTTTTGGACATGAACCACAATGATAGGAGCCAAAGGTATTGAAGCACTCTACTCCTGGAAAGCAAGGCCCAGATGCACACTCATCAGCATCTTCCTGGCAGTTTTTGCCTAAACAGAATATAGATTAAAGAGTTCAAGTGATTTATTTTGAAATACATTTTATGTCTACCAGGCTCATTTTTGTTTTGGTTTCTTCTACTATTTATTTAAGACCTCCCAGTCCCCACAGAGAAGTCATGCATTGTGAGGACAAAACTGTGCTGTTTTTGAAATTTACTGTATAACCACATGTAAGGATTGCTTAGATTTCACTTATGATTCAACTTGACCCTTCAAGTACATAAAAAAAAATTGCCTATAAATAAGATGACTTAAAAGTCCATTAACATTTAAAGTAAAAGGTTATCATATTAGAGAATTCATTTGTAGTTCATTAAAAAAACTCAGTGACTTTTTTCTTAAACAATGAAAATGGTTGTTTAGAATGGTTTTCGCCTTCGCTCAATGACAACTTCTTTTATCCACTTCTTGCATTGTCTGTGAAAACTTGTGAAAAGTTTCCAATGTGTTAGAAAAGTCAGTCTTTCCTCAGTAAAACAATTGGAGATGAAGTTGTGCTCTTTCAATGCTTAACAATTTATTTGAATGAATAAATTCCTATCATTAAGAATAGTAACCCTGATTTTGCAAAAATCCCTGGTGCAATCAATACTTGCATTCTTTCAACAACTCAGTAAAAAAGAAATTTATATTCATAATTCAAAATGACAAAATATTCATTTAAAAGAATGAAGAAAATTAAAAGACACCTAAATATTCTGCTACCAGTTCTCTTAGTTGCTTTCATTTTTTAAACATTCTGAATAATCAATTCTACTCTAAGAAAATATAAAATTAACTGATAGGTGCAGACCTCAAATTATTAGAGTATAAAAACACTTTAGATACAACATAAAAGACACAAGCAAATTTGCACTGCCCAGTCAGGATGCACCTCCTCTTCCGTCTTAAATTCTGTGTTGTTCATCTCACTGCTTGCATGTGCTTGTAAGCTCTCCTGCTCCCTCTCTCTCTCCTCCTGCCTCTGAACTCTTGTATTTTTAAGCCTCACTTTCTACCCCTGCACCTCCCTTTCTCTTATTTTTCCTTTAAGATCCCGGTTACATTCCTCATTTGATTCCCCAGAATCTGATTCAGCCATCAATCATACCAAATTCCTATTCCTCTGAGGTCTTTCCAGTGGCTGAGTTCACAGGTTAGTAAAGTGGCTGTTTCAGGAGACAAGGAGAGTTCCCTCTAAGCTCATGAAACAATTTAAACTATATTTTTATATCTTCTTATGTTTAAAAAACTATCTGTCTTTCTTGCCCACTGGCTTAATAAATGAATAAAAAGCCACACTTCATCATATTGGTCACAAATACTCTGCTTGTGTCCTTGGTGCACTGATGCCAAGAGACTGTATTTCTGGCTCCTGTTCTGCCCCTGTATATCCTTATACAGACAGTTTGATTTATCTGTTCTAGTTTCCACAACCTCAATATGATGAGGTTAGAAACAAGATATATTATGACCCCTTATATCTTTGAACACTAAGGCTTACTACTGAATCAATTATATCATAGTCACTAAAACAGACACTAATTCAGAAGTTATATTGCATTTCCTTGTCTCTTGCACTGATTTTTTCCCTAAATTTCCATTGTCTTCCAAAAATATTTCATGAGTCTAGCACCTAAGCAGTAAATCATCTGGCAAATGATCTAATATAGTAATGAAATTTACACATATAATGACAGTTTAATGGTATCATAAAGTGCTGTATAGGTTTTATTACTCAGATAAAATTATATTGCATCAAGGAATAATCATGTTCCATTGTACTAATAATGTCTGATCATCCTATGAGGAAAGAGAACTTGGGCACCCAAGTAGAATCATATCTAGTTGTGTTTAGGAAAGTGAATAGGTAACCTGGTATATGGTACACAATTTGGAATGCTGTTTGGATGAAATGAAAAATCTCAATATTATTTGTATACAATATTATACTCATGACATCACAGAATAGTAGTGTTGGAAGGCACTTTATAGATAATTAAGTCAAGATATCTTATTTAATAAGTGATAAGTGCATATCCTCTAGAACTTCAATAGTTAAATGATTTATCAGAAAACTGAACAGAATTAAGGCTAGGAATAAGAAATGGTGCGTAACTGAACTAACAAATTCCATTTCTTCAATTAATAATTCACATTGCTGGGGCTGGGGTTGTGACTCAGTGGTAGAGTGCTTTGCCTTGCATGTGTGAGGCCCTGGGTTTGATCCTCAGCACCACATTAAAATAATAAATCAATAAACAAAATAAAGGTATTGTTTTCATCTACAGTTTAAAATATATATTAAAAATAATTCACATTGCTTTCCCTATAAATATTAAAATAAGTATCTCATATTCTACTGTATTATTGTTATAAAAATTATTTATAGTCATGTGCCACTTATGACAGGCATAAGTTCTGACAAATGCACTGTCAGGCAATTTTGACACTGGGTTATGCAAAGAATGCTTACCAAAAAGAAAAAAAAAAAAAGAAAAGCAAAATCTAAGACAGCTATGACATCACTAGATGACACATCTTCTGGGTCTACTATTGTACTTGCACACTGTGTAGAACAAAATGACATTATCTGGTGCAGGACTGTATATAAAAATATCCTCTCAATTTATAGGTTCTTGTAAGCATTAAGAAAGATGCTAAATGAAATTCAGTGTTTATTAACCTTAAACACATTTATGTAACTTGTAGTTTAAAAAAATCTTGTTTAGGGATGTCTGGATAGACAAGAATAACTTACTTTCTAAATATGACCAGGTGAATTTTGAGATTTGGGATCTACAGATCAAACAAGGACTGGTAGGATTTCTATTCCCTTCAGTGTAGCAGAGTCCACTGATAATGCAAACATTCTCCTAGTAAAAATTTTTTAAAAAGGAAAACATTAACAAATAAAAGTTGTAGTTAGTGTATAAAAAACCTGTACATAAACTGATAGCAGCATATATATTTATGATTCCAATAAAAACATATAACAACAACTCCATTTTGATCAGATATCATTTTTTTGCATGATGTTGAAATTATTTTCTTTCTTTCTTTCTTTCTTTCTTTATTTTTTATTATTAGTTGTTCAAAACATTACAAAGCTCTTGACATATCATATTTCATACATTTGATTCAAGCAGATTACGAACTCCCATTTTTATTGCAGATTCACATCGGTTCCACATCCACTTTTTTACATACTGCCATACTAGTGTCTGTTGTATTCTCCTGCAACATTTTTTCACACTTCATGATCACAAAGCCAGGTCATAAAATAAAGTATTTCCTGTCTGCTTAAATGCCTAAGAAACTGATGAACTTGGAGGAATAATAAAATGCATGTAAATTGTATCTTTGTGCAAAATTATGCCTCATAAATAACATGGGGAAAAAACTCTCTTTTCTTTTTTGTTATCTTTACTGCTAAAATTCATGCTGGGAGTGCTTTATTAATGAAGAAATCAGAGGTGGGTGTAGTGGTGCACACCTGTTATTTTAGTTAGTTGGGACGTGAGGCAGGGGAATCAAGATCAAGGTCTATAAGACTCTAGAAAAAGAAAGAAAAGAAATTTATTTATTTGACTACTTTTCATTTTTGCACATCTTTAAAATCATATTAATTTATAGTTATCTTCCTCTTCCCTAACAGCCCATTATACTAGACCATACATCCAAAGCATTATTATTCACACTTCATAATGGTATCATTAAAAAAATAGTTGAAAAAATGCTGTAATACAGAGAAAGGACAATAAATATAGCAATAACTTTTTAACTTGGTAAATAGACAATTTTTTAGGAGATAGAAACTTTATTCATTTAAAAAATTTCCTTTGATATAATTTTGAAAATTAGAATAGTTCTAAGAGGATAAGACAACTTTGAATAACAATGTTTTTTAAAGTACTTAAGAACATGCGGAAGTGAAATATTTGATGAAAAATAAAAATCCAATAATTTCTCAACAACAATAAAAACTTGTTATTGAAATAATGTGATTAATCTCAAAGAAAAGGAATTTAAATTTAGAAAAATATACTTTTTGAATATTTATTTTCTGTAATACCATGGATTGAACCCCAGGGCTCTCTACCACTAAACTACATACCTAGATTTTTAATTTTTTTAAATTTTGAGACAGGTCTTTCTAAGTTGCTCCACCTGAACTCCAACTTGTGATTCTCCTGCCTACACTCTTGAATAGCTGGTTCACAGGTGTGCACCACATACTTGATATGTTCCTTGGTTTTGAAAAGTCAATTGATATTAGTTAAAGGTTTCAGCAATGCAAATGGGAGAAAGCCCTGCGGTTAAACTCAGAAGTCTGGATATAGATAGGTTCAGAGGGTGAGGCTATAACAACTAGGTTTAGGTTGTGCTATTATTCTATAATTCATCAAGTGGTAGGCTTTTGCATAGTCCAAAGAATTTAGTTGCCAGAAAACTCTCTATAAAAGTGCTAATTTTATACACTTTGCAAACTCTACTCAAATGTATAACATTTGCCACAAAGAGGATTAGGTAATCACAAACCACAAAGAAATATCTTTCTTTTCTTTTCTTTTCTTTTCTTTTCTTTCTTTTTTTTTAATACTGAGGATTGAACCTAGGGGCATTCTGCCACTGAGCTACATCCCCACCACTTTTTATATTTCATTTTCAGACAGAGTGTAAGTCTGGAATTTATAATCTTCCGGCTTCAGCCTCTTGAGTTTCTAGAATTGGAGGCATATTCCCCTGTACTGGACCATAAAGAGATATCTTTTGGAAACTAATTAATACTGAGAAAACAGTGAATGGAGAAAGGAGGAAATAATTCAGTGCAAACCTCCTTTTTGATTTTTTTAGGAATAAGCAATCTGCACTCCAAAATGTTAAGGAAGAAACATCTTTCTCACCATTTCAACAAGAGTTATAGGAAGAGTAAACATTTAAATTAACGTTAGGTGCATTTAAGGAAGGTTTTCTCTATTAGTCTTTCTGTTATTAAGGTGAAAAAAACACAGTTGATATGCCAATGGCATGGAAAATTAAAATACCTATGATGTAAATGTGAAAATAAGTGAAAAGATACATACCTTTATAGTACATGAGTTATTTTTGTAGAGACCACAAACTTGACAAGTACCATCATATATGATCATTGTTTTGGAATTACTGAATTTATAACCATCATTAGATACCTGTAAGATGTAGTTCTATAATAAGATAATTTGTTCTAAATGCAGCCTCATAAATTCATTATGAAAATCTATATATAAGAATTTTCTTGGCTTATAAACATGAGGTTTAATTTATAGTTATCTTTTACCTTTAATTTTTTATTTACCTTTAATTGCCACTTCATAATTGGTTTCTGATCCATCACATCCATGGTATCAGACTGCTGGACATCACTGGGCAGCTGACAATCAACAGTTCTGCTGTTTTGAAAAACTGCCCGTGTATAGACAGGTTCTCCAAGCACCCATTTACTACTATTATACTGAAGGCAAAATGGGAAAACAGTTAACTTCTGTTACAATTATGAAAATATTTCAGTACTGAATTTCATATGATCGAAATACAAATTTTAAAATATAATCCTAGTATAATGGAATGTATAGTAAGGAAAAAAAGTCACATTGGAAGTGAGTTTTATTCAGAATGATAAGAAAGTATGCATCTTATTTTGATGTAAAGTTTTCCTAGGAAATCATGAATTTTCTGGTAGTTCAAATCAAAGGATTTACCAATGTTGGCCACATGTTATGGGTCACTCTGCAGTAACTTTTGCAGCAAGAAAAAATATCATTTGACATTGTACTTGAGGCAACAGATGGTTTTCCTTTCCAGAAACACCCTCATTTCCTCTGCAAAAGTACCCACCTTCTCCATCTATTTGAAACTGCCCTTTCTGCCCCCTGTCTCTGATGACTTGAGATTCAAGACTTGTTGATGATCATGTTTTTCTGTATGTGGAGAAATCCAGTATATAATAAAATGAGATGGAGAGGGAATCAAAGAAGAGGAGAACTGAGACAAACAGCTACACACATATCCAAATGTGCACATGCTAAGTCTTCATGTTGTCCAAGTCCCAACTTCAAGTTTTTTTTTCTGATAATTCAGGTACATTCTTTTCCTTAATTCTGTAAAAAATGTGCCATCTTCATAATCAGTATTATTTTGCTAAAGCTTGTTGATGTAATTTGAAAGTAAAATTTTAGCCAGTTCATCCCTTTTAATAGCTTATCTCATGCTTAAACTACACTTTAAGTGTTCATTTTCATCATTGAAAATGCATTGCTGTCTAGGGAGAAAAAGCAAGAATAATTTTCTGAGTACCGATAACTACACAGAAAACTAGAATGATATTTTGTTGCCAAGATTTATACTTTCGTAAAAGAATTCTTATTGTAGAATGCTTCCAACCATTCTGAATCAGCCATGCAATATGTAGCTGCTTCACTATTGTGGGTTTGCAGGAAAAGAAAAGGAAGACTAGAACACTCTTGTCTATGGCTCCCAGAAACTATTTTGAAGACGTATGGCTGACAGAGTGACCCACAGTACAAAACTGCATATTTATGGATGTGTATAGCATTTCTGCCAGTGATTTTCCTCTAGCAGAAGGATAATAAGAATGTCTAAGTTGTCATGATACCTACTCTTAGAGGATATAGGGTCCCTTGGAAATAGATTCCAGCCAATGACTGGGGATTTAGGGATAATTTCCATCCCTCTGAGGAAAGGTCTACACCAAGTAAGGAATAAACAGGGTTCTACTTCTTTTCCACTCATCAATAGTTTCTAATTATCTATTATGTGCTAAGGATATTCTGATGAAGAGATCAAAGGAAAAGACATAGATAATTTTATTATCACTATAACTGAGATTCAAATAAGGTATAATAAGAAATAAGCCATTAAATCTAAATCTGTCAAGCAAGGTTTAAAACAAAGTGTGGGGGATTATACTTCTCTTCCTAAAGTAAAAAGGAGACTGACATGTGGATGCTGGAAGCAGAAATACAGTATGATTTAAGATGGCTGGAGGAAACATTGTGTGAAAATTCATGGCTGCATGAAACTGGAATAAAGCATGGAGAGGAAGGTCAAGCCTGCTAAAACGGGCAAGAACTGCCTCCTAATGGCCCACGTGTTTATAGGATAACAACTTGGATCCTACAAGTCAGCAATTTAAAACCTGGATTCTGCTTTTAGGGGAAAGAGTGAAGGATATGATTGGGTAACTGGATTTCTAGCTAAGCATCTGTTAAAAATTACTACTGGGTAAAAATACACATTGGAATATTTCTCAGCATTAAAAGAGAATAAAATCATGGCATACACAGATAGATGGATGGAGTTGGAGAATATCATGTTAAATGAAGTAAGCCAATCCCCCCCAAACCAGAGATCAAATGTTTTCTCTGATATGTGGATGCTGATCTATAATGTGGGAAGGGAGCATGGGAGGAATGGAGGAACTTTGAATAGGGCAAAGGGGAGGGAGGAGAAGAGAGGGGATAAGGGGTAAGAATGTTAGTGGAATGAGATGAACATCATAAATCTAAGTACATGTATGAAGACATGAATGGTGTGATTCTATTTTGTGTAAAACCAGAGAAATAAAAAGTTGTGCTCTATATGTATACTATGAATTGAAATGCATTCTGTTGTCAAATATAACAAATTAGAATAAATAAATAATTCTTTAAAAAATTACTACTAAAAATTTAAAAATGTCATTTATAATATACTACCCTTTGTGTATAAAAAAAGGAGGTATGCTGTATATCTGTTCCTTTATGTCAAAAAAACACATAAGGGTAAACCAGGAAATAATGGCTGTGCATGTAAATGTTTCAGGCCATGCAAGAAAACAGGAAGGAAATAAAGGGTAATAGCAAGCTGGTACTAGGGATGAGAAGAAAGTGACAGTTCTGTGTGTGTACCTTTTGTATAGAGCCAATTCTCAGAACCACATTTCACATACCCCTAAATAATCTATACCTAAAATAAACCACAGTTTTGTTGCAAAAGAAACACATAACCACTCTGAATAGAGAGGGAAAGAAAACAGCCAACACAAGTCACTAAGTAAACAATAGTTGCGTGTAAATTGTGATCTCATTTTGCAACTTTCTTTTTCACAGAGACATGGTTTATAATTTCTAAAATTGATTTGCATATATTAAAATTGATAAAATATGCTATACAAATAACAAGAACTAGTTTTAACTTGTGAAGAAGGAGTAAAGGGACAAGAGAAGGCTGAAATGAATCTTATGCATTGCAATTAGAGGTATCAGAATCAGTTCATTAAGATGAGAGATAGATAGATAGGGATAGGGTTAAGGATATATGTGTAAGAAGATATACATGTATTTCCTAGCTTCATCCATTGAGAGGGACAGGAATCAATAACTAGTCTGCGATGATGAGCACACTTTGCACCCAAATCATCAAATCATGGTTTTTAAGTAACAATATTTAATAGATAGAACAGAGTTCTTTTGAGAAATGATTGATTCTATGGTTGGAGTAGAGAAAATGCAAGATGAGTCTGCAATATTGTGTGATGAGAATGTGAGAAATTATACAATAAATTATGAGTGCACAGTAAAGGGACATGAGAATCTACTTGAAAGAGCTCCCAATGTTCAAATCTGGGATAATTTAAGCAGCAAGCAAAATAAATAATAATAGCATCAAATAAGATAAAATAAGTATTCTTCATAAAATAAGTTATCTGATATGAGTAAATGAATGAACAAACATGAAACAAGGAACAGCTTTCCCTTTCAGTACAATTTCAGATAATAAATATAAGTAGAAGAAATGATGTAAATAGAAATTGCCTTTGGTAAATGCCACAGTAATGACTGTTGCAAGCAAAAATTATAGTTGAATGCTAAAATCAGGAAGACAAAATATAAGAAGAAATCATATTAGCATTGTCTATAAGTGTCTTCTTATAGCATATTAATTACAAAAGGAAATATAGGATATCTATAGTAGAGATTAATGGAGATGCCACCTTAAACATGTAATTAAAATTTACATCACCAGTAATTACAAACACTGATCATGAAAAGATGAAGGAAGAATGGCGTAACTTCTATCTATCTTAAGAAAGAAACATTTTACAAAATAACTGGCAAGCACTCTTCAAAAGTGCCATATTCATGAAAGACAAACTATATACTGTCACAATTTGAAGAAGATTGAAGAGACATGACAACAAAATGCAAAATGAAATCTTGGATTGGTTGCAGAATCAGATTGGATGCCTGGCAAAATTTGAATAAGGCCTGTAAATTATTTAATTTTATTGTACCAAGTTGAATTTTTTGGTTTCCATAACAGTTTTATGGATGTGTAAGATGAAGATACAGGAAGAAGCAGGGTGAAAAATTATTGGGAACCTCTCTGTATTATTTTTACAGCTTCTCTGCAAGGTTCAAATTATTCCAAAATACATGTTTTAAAACAGTACTTGATAAAATGGAAAGAAATGAAGGGTTTCTTGTAATTTTAGTTTCAGAAAACTAGATTTTTTTTTAAGAGAAACCCATCTTCAAAGGGAACTGAAATTCCAACTAAAAAAGTGAGCAGAAATCCATTCATGTTCACTGACCAGATATAAGAAAGGTAGTGGAAAAATAAATACATTCCAAACAAACCAAGCACAAGGCCTCCTGCAGGTCCCAAGCAGTGGGGTGGGGAGTCTTAAAATAGTGCCAAGTAGACTTGACTCAAGGAGTGAAACAAATGGTGCAAAAGCCAGAACCCAGCATTGGGCAAGATCAAGGCCAGGGAAGATGACTGTAATAATACACTGTAATAATACATATAAATACTTGATGCACATTCTCATCTTGGTTTTAGTAATTAAGCACACTGATTTATTTCTATAGTTCTGCAAAGTATGTTAAAAATTCCACGATTTTGGAAGAGGAAAGCACTGTGAGAGTAAATCACAACCAGTAAGTGGCTGAAAATAAATACAAAATTTAATTTCCAAGAGAATAGAAATCTATAAAATTCTCTTCTGGTAAATCATTTAATTATAGCATGATGTCATATAATTTACTCTATCAAGACCAAAAGCATATGGACTCTCTTGGGTGATGTTGAAATTACATATATATCTGTCTATTGTGTGTTTTGCTATTTCATTGGAATTAGAATAATTTGCAACTAATTTAGAAAGACTCTATCATTAAAATCATGAAAGAAGCATATTTGTTATTCAGAACCCTATGACAAAAAAAACATGCAAAGATTATTTCCTCTTGTAAAGTCTCAATCTCAGAACCACATCTGGATTTATCAACTTAGAGAAAAAGAAAGAAGAATGTTAAAGCACTATTTACTAGTTTACTACTTTAACTTTCAGCTTATCCACATAAAACCTTTCTAAATTCAAAGAGTTGTCCATAAAATAAAATTTCTACTTGAATAAAGAAAAGGAAGGTCATATTAGAAATCATCAAAAATAAGGTATAATTTGCTATGCTAATGTTCAAACTGGGATTCATGTCATGTAAGAAAGAAAAATGCTTACTTCAAGGAAAAAACATGCTAATGTGGGGGAGGGTGGTACTTTCCAATCTGAAATCCATAGTAAAGGAATACAAAGGATGAGCACAATTAGCCCTTGTTTTTTGTTTTGTAGAAGGGAAACATTCATGTCCCTGGATTTTACAGTTCATGCAGGATGTCTTGGCTAAAATCCATCTCCACTATTTGTGGTGTTGCAATTTAAAATATAAAGATGCCTCAGTATTTCAAGCTTGATCGTCTTTTACTTTTTTTTATTATGAATGAACAACAGTGGCCAATACCTCAGTAAAAATAATATAAAGCACTTCAAAAAAGCTTACAAATGTGGAAGTTTTCAAGGTTAAGCAACTTAAATCATCTTCCTTCACTCTCTGTGGACCTAACACCCTTTGGGATTATGTGGTCGATTGAATTAATTAATTCAATACAGAATTAATCTGAATAACTTATAAATTATTTTCCATAATTTCTCAGAAAATCTGTAATTAACATACCTGCAGTTTAGTAACTTCACAGTTAATGGAAGGTGATTCTTTGAAGCCTTGACCAAAAACTCTCACCATTGTACAATTATGCTCTTGAACATCACAGAATCCAGCATTCTCAAGCTCTGTGATTTCAGGAACTTTGTCTTTGGAGAACAATTATAACAAATAGAACATGTTTTTTTAATTCCGGAAAAAAAAAAACTACATAATTATGCCTCAAAGCCCAAATGAAAAGCATGTGTAAAATAATACTTCAAAGTACACCCCAAATACTATTTACATTAATTAAACCATTAAATGTTAAGAGCATTCTGGTATTAAATGTGATGCTACCTACCATTAAACCTACAACAATGTCAACAATGTCATTATACTTGCTACCAGTGCTGTCATTAATGTTTTAAGATTTGATTATGAGGTTTTGTGAAAAATGCTTTATTCTTTATTCTGAATGACCATGGATGGATTTTCTGATAATATGACACTTGAACAGAGAAATGAAAAAGGTTAGTCGTGAAGTTGCGTGGTGAAAGAATGCTCCAATAAGAGAGCAGAAAGTACAAAGGCCCTGAGGTAGGAGCAGATCTGTAAGAACAACAAAGCAGCAAATGTGGCAGAAGAGCAGTGAACTTGGGGAAGAGCGGTTAATGAACTGAGAGTGAGGGGGAGCCTCAGATTATCTGAGGTCCATGTAAAGAGTTGTGGATTTTATTCTGAAAAATAGGGCAAGCCATTTGAAGGATTTAAGCAGAGAAGCAATGTGATCTGACTTACATTTCAAAGGGGTCACTTTGGCTTCTGCTGCATAGAAAATAAGCTTTGAGAGAATCTATGATGATCCAGGTGAGAGACAGTGGTGGTTTGGACCAAGGCTGTAGCAAGGAAAGAAATGAAATGCTTTGAAGCTAGAACTGGACTTGCTGCTATGGAGTTAAACTTGAGGCATGGGAGAAACAGAAAAGTCAATACCTGCAAGTTTTTAACTTGGGCCATCAGAGTGAAGTTTTTGCATTTACTGAGATAGAAGAGACTCTAAATGGAAAAGGGAAGGATGGTGGTTGTGGGAGGGAAATCAAGAATTACTGGTTTACTGGTTAAATAAACCAAGTCAACATTTTAAAAATTTTCTTTCTCTAACATTTTGAGACAGAACAGTTTACACTATATAACAAACGAGCATGATTAGCAAGATAATATAAACACAGTCCTTAAAACATGTTAAATTTGAGTCCTAGGAAAACGATTATTCTAAACAGGTAGAAGGACCAGTTAGTTGCAAGCAAAGGCCAGGAGACAGGGTAAACTGGCATTTTCAAAAACAGCAGAGACTAAAGTAGCTGTAGTGAGATGGTAAGAGGGTGACAGTCACAGGAGATGAGTCTGAAAGGACTCTGTGTGCCAGATCTCGGTGTGCCTTACAGGTAATTACAACAACTTCAACTTTTCTCTGAATGAGATGAAACACTTTGGGGAAATCATTAACGTATTAATCATTTTAATTTGTGTCTTTTATCACTATACGATCTTCATAAGCCCTAAGATAATTAAGTCAAAAAAGAACAAATATATATTCATAATCAAATTTCCTGCACAACATTAAAGTTTAAGAGTGTTTACTTACCATACCAATCACTGCAATCATAGGAGCTGAAGCCTGGGAGACATGCACACCCCCAATCCATACACTGCCCATTGCCACTGCATAAATTGGGACATTTTAATACCAAGAGAATGCCTTCAATTGACTTGCCATGTTCTTTTGTGTTATATTTCCCCTCTTCCAAAATCCTCTTTTCACATTCATTTTCTAGAAGGGCCACACCTGCTTCTGCCCAGCTAACATCATCTTTCAACAGAATGTCCTTAACACACATATCTACAGCATGGTCTAGTCTTTTACCAAGAAAGTCAAAACAGAGCCTGCCTATGCTGGAGTTGGCTAGAGTGCGCTGACAGAGTTTCAGGCTGCTGTCCTGGGTAAGGCCAGAGGGTGTGGGCCACTGGGGGACAAACTCTTGGTGGGTGTCCTCAGTGTGGTCCTCAGGGAAAAAATAAGTAAACTGTTCCAGGTTGGTCTGGCTGAGACTTTGGAAAGCAAACAAAGGAGGAAACTCATTGAAATGTTGCCGTTTCCATCTGTTTTGTGGATTCCACCTCATTTGTTGGCTGTGGCGACCCTGGTCCTGCTTATGTTTCTCATTGTCTGAATATTTTGGTGCATCTTGTTTTTCAGTGCCAGGATATTGTAAATGTACGTCCCGTTTGGTGAGGTCTATGTACTTCTTTCCTTGCAGTAAGAAATTCAAATTATTTTCTTCTCTAGATGTATGCTTGTTTATCCTCCCAACCAGAGCTTCTGAATTAATGTATTCAGAGGTGACATCTAGTTCTGGTATCAAAGAAGAGAATCTGACATGTTTGAGGTCTTTGCAACCTGAAGCAATTTCTGGTTGAGGAAAACCATACAGATGATTAGAAAACGGGTACCTGGAGGCGGTATCCAATGAGCAGCTACAATAGGATAGTTTTGCAGGCAAAGTCTGAGAAATTGGCATCTTGTCAAACATGCTTCTCCCGGGTAAAATCCTTCCAGGTTAAAAACAGAAAACGAAAGTTATTTGAACCAGAACATTTTTCCCAGGAATGTGTTGCCAAAGTCAGAGACTCTTCACATTTAAGTCTAATATTAACACAATCACAAATGAAAATTAGTTTCTTACCTCCATTCGTTAATAAAAGCAGCACAATTATTAAAATGTTGATCAATTTTGATCCCATTTTTATCATGGAAATCATTTTCTGGGTTCTCATCAAAGGTTCCACAGAGTCCTAAAGTGTTTTTGTAATCTGAACTAGATGCCCTAATGGTTAAACTCATGCCCCATTCACTCAAGTCAGCACGAATAAATGCTCCAGAAGAAAATGAAATCTGAAACCAACATATAAACAGAAGATGTGAAAGCCATATTCAATATAGATTAAGAAAAAAGTGTTATTTAAGAAATAAGAAGCAAACTCAGGCACTTCTCCCATATAAACAGAATAAAATACTAGGGGATAAACTCTTAGTGGATATCCTCAGTGTGGTCCTCAGGGAAAAAATAAGTAAACTGTTCCAGGTTGGTCTTTTTTATCCGCCCCCCCCCAGGGGACAACTTCTTTTTTATTGCTTTATTTTAAAATAATAAATTTTTGCATTTTTTTCTGATTTAGAATTTGAACACCTACTGATTTTTATTGATATATATTATTTGTGACTTCTTTCCTTAAACAATTTAAACCAAAATGTGATATATAATGAAAACAGTTATAAATCTTTTTTTTTAAAGAGAGAGAGAGAGAAATTTTTTAATATTTATTTTTTAGTTTTCGGTGGACACAACATCTTTATTTGCATGTGGTGCTGAGGATCGAACCCGGGCCGCACGCACGCCAGGCGAGCGTGCTACAGCTTGAGCCACATCCCCCACTCAGTTATAAATCTTAAAAAAAACACTTACCAAGTAATATTAATGTTGCTTTTTTTTTTTTTTTTTTTTTTTTTTTTTGGTGCTGGGGATTGAAACCAGGGACTTGTAACTGTTCTACAACTGAGCTATGACCTTGGCCAACCAAGTTATGCTTCTGATAATAGTTATTTAATATGGAATTAGACTCACAAATAATTAATTTACACAGATTAATATAATTCTGAAGGAGTGGATATTCCTGTGGCCAATCAGCATTCTCTTGCCACAAGCTGGCAAATAGAAACCACATTAAAACCATGGGTTGCGTGGGGAGTTGGCAATCAGAACAAGAGGTATTTATTGAATGACTAATAGCCTGTGTCATCTAACTGTGAGCACCTCTCTCTGTTACAGGAATAGCACCTGTCCCAGGCCAGTCACTTGGATGTACATGAGGAAAAACTATCTCTTCTAAGAGTCAACAAAGGTATAACATCGGTGTTTGCTTCGCTGATCCTTGTTCCCCTTTTAGTTTTTTTTTTTTTTTAAATCTAAAATGAGCTTTTCTTTTTACAACACTAGTATGCGTTCATTACACAAAATGATTTTAAACACAAACAAAATTTATATTTCTACCCAAGTGGCAGAGGGAGGATGTTAACGGCTAATGCTAAGATCTTGGTGCAAATTCTTCAAAAGTCTTTTCTATATTTCATGAATGTCTTTGCCTGTCTGTAAGCATAGCCTACTCTGTCGTTTTCATGACTACAATGTGTTTTATTGTGTACATCATTGTAGAGTTTTAGTTAAACACTTTTTTTTCTAGGAGCATTAATTTTAGTTTAAGATTTGTAAGAAACAAATTTATTAAGAACCATTCCTACTTCCGCAGAAACATGGGAGAAAGAACAGAAAAGAACAGGAGAGGGGGAACAGGTGGAGGCAGAGGGGTCCCCTTCATCTCCTTATGCCCCTGTGACTGGAATGATATGGACAAGCCTGAAGCAGTCTGCACATCTCCCTCCTGCAGCTGTTCCACAGAAGTGAGATCCTGTGGAATGTGTCCCTTTTGTTTTTTATCTGATTCAACTGTCCACTTTCATTGGAGCCACTTTGTTCCTGAATTCAGGGTGTGTGTTTTGGGACAGCCAACAGCAACATGGCACGCAACAGCATATTCATAGGATACAAGCGGAAATCCACCTAATCATCTGCTTTTGGTCTGTCCTGAATGTTGTCTTTGGTACAGGCTGCAGTCCCACCATGGGGCTGCTCAGATCATGGCAGCTGGGAAGCAGAGAGAGCAAGGCGCCAAGGACAAAAATACTAAACCCCAAAGGAAGCCCCCAGTGACCTACTTCCTCCAGCCATACCCTTCCTGCCTATAGCTATCAAGTACAGTAGTCCTTTCAAATAATTTATCTATCAAATGGATTAATCCACCAATTAGGTAACAGCTCTGATAATATAATCATTTAACCTCTGAATATTTCTGCATTTTCTCACACATAAGCTTTTGGGGGATACCTTATATCCACAGCATAATATCAGGTTATGGAGAATGATATTTTTTTTGTTTAGAAATTAAAATATGGAGGGGGGTTCAATGGCTTTTTTAGTTAGAATCTAAAATTCTGTAATGATTTTTGGTTCTTCAGAACCTTCTCATATTCACAATTAATGTATTCAATTCCTCTTTCAACTCTGAATGACTGATATTAAAAGGATGGTAGCACTTTACTCGGGTTGTGATACTATGACAGAATGCTCTGTTCCCTAAGACACCACAGGGACTTTATTAAAATTATGGAGCTCAGAGGTAGGGGGATTTCATCATAATTTCCCTATAAGGTCCTTATGAGACTTCTCATTAGAAATCTAGGAACTCAGAAGGTAGTGGGTTGATATATTCTCAAGTGATAAAGGACAAAACCTATCAACCAAGAATCCTATGGCCAGCATACGTATCCTTCCCACAGAAGAAGAAATAAGGCATTCCAAGATGCCTAGGTCCCTTCATGCTGCTATAACAAAATACTTTAAGCTGAGTAATTTATTAACAACAGAAATTGATTTCTTGAATTTCTGGAGGCTGGCAAGCTCAAGGTCAAGGTGTCAGAGGAGATTCAGTGTGTGTGGAGAGAGCTAACTTTCTCCTTTGTAGATGTACATTTCTGCTGTGTCTTCACATGGTGTAAGGGACAAAAGGTTGACTATTCCAAGCCTTTTGTTGTTGTTGTTGTAGCACTGGTGATTGAACCTAGAGCCTCTCACATGATAGGAAAGTGCTTTACCCCTGAGCTGTATCCCCAGCCCCTTTTACTTTGAGACAGGGATAAGTTAAATTGCTCAGGTTGGCCTTAAACAAGTGATCCTCCTGTTTCAGTATCCTGAGTAGCTAAGATTACAGATGTACACCAGCACATCATGCTTAATAAATGGACATCTGTGTGGGTGTTGTTCTAGGGTTTTGTGCATACAGACAAGTCTTCTTATCTAAAGGTACACATCCCATCCATGAGGTTGGAGCTTCCTGGTCCTCTCAATACTGTTGCAATGAAGTCCAAATTTCAACAGGAATTTTGGAGGGATACATACACTCAAACCTCCATACCAAATAAATCAAAAGCTAAGGGAGTTAGTCACCATGAGATGTGTCCTGTGTGAGAGGAATCCTTCAGATTCATTGGAAGTCCACTAGACAGGAACTCAGAGGTTAAGGACTTGCATGGGCACCTGAGTGGCAGAGGGATGATGTTAATGGTCACTAGCTAGCAGGCACTCTCTGCTGCAGGTGATCCCCTGCCTGCAGCTTCACCTGTGGCTCCCTGTGCTCCTGCTCATACATCTGCTCATGCATGAGTTGTTAGCATAGAAAGATGCAAGATGTCATACTGGAGAAGCTTACTGGAGGCTTGGAAGCATAGGAAGTTTTGTGGAACTGTTTTCAAAACCTGTCAGGTCCAAATATTTCCAGGGAGACTAATGGTTTGATAGAATCAGGAGCAAACCTTTGTACAATAGCAAATACAGCTTGTGAGACATCGGATATGGAGTCTCTTGGAAACAGCTTTCCAGTACCTACAGCTGCCACAGTATAAAGTGACAAACTGAATTTGTGGTTCCATGCACAGGGGCTGTGGAACCACCAGCTTCTCCAGCTGCTGCCACCCAGGCTCCCAGTAGCCACCTTTGCCCTCATGGTTCACATGACCATCATGGTTCCCACTGCCTTCCTAGTTCACACCAGCCTTGTGGTTCTGGTCGCCCTCATGCTTCACATCATCCATGAGGTCTAGAGCTCCTTCAACAAAGTGGCCACCCTCTGCTTCTGCTGCTGCACCCTGCTTAGGTTCAGTGCATCTCTGCATACACCCTCAGGCTGTAGGAGTTGGGGTTCCAGCAGTGGTGCCAGAGTGTCAAGACTGAATGTCACAGAATTCATATTTCTGAACCCTCTCATTAAACCGATTAATTGTATGGTTTCCCTCTTAGCAGAGGAGATACAAGGAATAGCATTGGGGTTATGTGCATCCTTGATTATTTTATTGCAATCAATTTCTGGAAGAAAAATATTTGTAAAATAACTACACAAAGAAGTTCAGACTATATTAAATATATATATATATATATATACCCTCCAGAAAGATTGTTTCCACCATCACTACTCTTGACAATATTTTTTGAGAGATGTTTGATCAGCATTTTTTTATTTGATGACTAATGTTCTTAACATTGTTATATCTTTGTTGGTTACTAGTACTTTTGGAAATGTTAAAGTTCTTTTTGAATTATCATTTTGTAATATTTGCTCAATAGAATGGTGAGTATACCTTAGAGATATATTTTTTTATATAACTGATTATATATAGCAAATATTTTCCCAAATTCTGTATTTGCATTTTGGTTTTTGATGATGGAATAAAATATATAATGTTATCTTAAAAGTTATTGTTCACTTCAATAAATATCATAAGAACATATTTACAAACACTTTTATTTAAATTTGAATTATACTTACCTGGAATTTATTAATTGAAATATAAAAGGAAAATGAACACAACCTTAAGATACAAATTGTTAGCTCAAAGACATGAAATATGATCTTTAAAAAGTGATGGTGAATATATATAATATTGAGAATGTTTCCTGATTTCTATTCTTTTCCACTTATCTACCAGCCCATTCCTAAATCAGTAACATGTTCAATTCACTTGAAAAGTTGGTTAACTACTAATTATTTATTTTTAATTATGTCTGTCGTCTAATATGCCATTTAATGGATACTGTAAAAATAGTTTCTATGAATAATGCAAAAATTGTGATACTGAAATGTTAAATAAGTCAATTTAAGTTTGACAGTGTTTTAAATTATCTTTACTTGTGCATGGTAGGTGCAAAAACATTCATTCTGAGATCATAATTAATCCAAATGCTATCTTCTTGATAGCAAACCAATATTTAAAAATGATAGCTCCTGGGCTGGGTTGTAGCTCAGTGGCAGAGTACTCATCTCACATGCGTGAGGCACTGGGTTCAATCCTCAGCACCACATACAAAAATAAGTAAATAAAACAAAGATATTGTGTCCATCTCCAACTAAAAAAAAAAAAAAATAAAAATAAAAATATGATAGCTCCTAATTTAACAGAGATGTATAGTTTATTCAAAATGAGAAAAAGGGAAAATATTTTTAATAGTACAAAATCATACATACTGTGACTTTTCGTCCTAAATAAGATTCACTTATCTTGATATTGCTGGATGCATCTTGGCTCTTTACAAATAAATACGGTCGTAATTCATGTAGCTGACCACTGCACATATCGAAAGTAACGATATCTCCTCCTTCTTTGGCCACAAATCCACAGTTACATGACACAGGGTAGTGCAGGCTTCCGCAGTCCCATTGACGCACATGGACTTCAAAATCACGTGTTGTACTCTTATAAAGCACAAATGTTCCAGTCTTGAAATTATCATATACCCTATCATTAACAAAAGTGAACTGCATTAAGGGTTGGTTATAAAACATCACAATAGTATGTTATAAACTAAATATGTATTACATTCATTTACAGGCTTTCCATATATTTTGATGTTAGAATGAGAAATCAAGATTCCCAGCACCTTTTTGGGTCATGAGCATTTGTTTGGATGCACTGAATGAAACACTTGCTTCTCTCTCACTACTCTTTTCTTCCCTTTCGTAACCCCAGAGAAGCTTCGCTCCTAGAGGAGGGAGGCCTTCCAAGTGGCATGCACTTGCTGTCTCTGGTCTTCAAGAATTTGTTCACATTACCATCAAAATGGCTTTCCATAACAAGCCTATTTAATATAAATTACTAACCCTAATTGCAGCCTTCCCTTTTCACCTGATTTAGTTTTCTTCATGGCATGTTTCTTCCTCAGACACACTACATACTTTATTAACTGATTGTGTTAATATCTCTTTTCCTCTGTTCAGAGGTCGGCTCTATGAGGGAATGATATTCTCTCGTTCATTGTCACATCCCCCAGCACTTAGAACATGGCTTGTCACCAAGCTGCTGCACAATTAATCTTGTTGAATTAAGTCAGATTAAATACATCACCATTTCTTGAGGTTTTTTCCACCAAAATTCTAAAGATTTCAATTATAACCATAGAAGAAAATTTTGCATGAGATAATAAGTTCCAACAATTTCTCAATTCTTGCTCAGATCTGTGGAGTATAATTTTACTGAAGGATTCTATAACTATTTTTCATATTGAGTGACTTTACTGGAAGTGATCACATTACAGTTTTTAAAAATTAAAAGAAAAAATTACCATGCATCAGGATGAGAATTTTGAATCAACAATACAGTTTCATTTTCCTTAAGAATATGATATCCCTCAGAATAGTATCGCTGAGCTTAATTTTGCTATGCAGATATTAATAGCAGTGTGACTTAGATTATTTCTTTTTGGTCATCTTGCTCAGTTTATTTAAATTCTAGAGTTAAATATTCAGGCTTTTATGAAGTTATAATTATTTTTTCCATGAGTATTCTCATTATAAATTAAAGCTGATTTGTTCTTTAAAAATTCTAGTGTGTTAGTTATTTTCCTAAAACTTAAAGATTATTTCATTATATATAAATACAAAACAGTATATCACAATAAATATCATGGTAAACATCTCTGATGCAAATAATGAAATTATTAAAAACAAATACATGGCAAACAAAATTATAACTTCCATTTGTCATAAACTTCATTTCTACAAATTAAGGCTAACAACTATAACACAATAGACTTCAGAAAAAAATTCTATACAAATAAAATTAGTATCCTCAAACAAATCAGTGATGGCAAAACATGACTTTCTTTTCTAATTTTCCAGTGAACAGGACTAAGAAATGATCAAACAAATGCTGGTTAAAACAAAACAACAGTGAAACCAAAACAAACAACAATCTTTAAAAGAAAATACTTTTAGGAAATTACCTGCCATCAAAGGTAATTATGTGTGGATCAGTAAATGAATAGCAGTAAGCTGTTGGGACATCCTTGACTCTGATCTTAAAAACAAAGATATTTTTGATAAAATTATTATTGGTATTCAGTGACAATTATTCATCACAACTACAATGGGTTTTTCATTAATTCTTGTCATATATTGAAAATAGAATAATTTAAAACTCATAATTATCAAATAATTCTAAAATTAAAATTTACAAGATACAGTGATAAAATACACATATCATTTTCAGTTTAAATTATAAAGATTATTTTAAATTTGTCAACCTGGATGCTGTCTGGAATATAGTTGTTCCACAGGAAATCCTTATTCACTATAGGTTCTACAGCAATGTTTGTAACTCTGTCTCCATCTTGGGAAAAATCTGAGACAGCAGTGTAATACAGGGAAGCTTGGCCACAGGTGCCGTTGACACAGGATGTTGTCTGGTGGAGGTCCACATTGCAGGAAGACAGTGCCAAGTTTAAGCCAAGGTGTTCTTTACCTATTTAATAATAAAAAGTTGATAATTTGCCCAACAATATAAACATATGAAACATTAAATAAAGTGATTACTCTTAAAGCATTTTCTCTTTCTTAAAAAATTATTTTTGAAATTTTCATCTAAGTTAAAACAAATTGGAAATACAGTGGAATGAATCTGACACAACTTTCCTACGTACATCTATGAATATGCCACAATGAATCTCCATATCATGTATAACCACAAGACTGGGATCCTAGTTAGAATAAGAAAAAAAAGTTATTGAATATACCTGATTTTTACAGATAATTGATAAACTTGAAAATATACATATATTTGTACATACAGATACATTACTATTTATTTTCAACCAAGTTACCAATCCATATGCTCCCAGATAAAATTTAAAAGCAATAAATAACAAAGTAATGATAGAGATGAAGATATTAATAACTTTGATTTGATCAATATATTTTATTTACATGTTTTGAAGTACATGTATGTATACTTCAAGTACAGTACAATGTACACTGTACATGTGCAATTATTATGTGCTAAAAACTGTCTAACAAGATTTAAAAAAGCAATAAGCAAAAGTTGTCTTTCCTTTAAAAAAAGTCATAATTCTAGTAGCAAGACTCATAATTTGATTTCTTTTTCTAACTAACAACTGCACCCCATGTCCAGATTGTTCTATAATAAATTTTAGGGCATTTCTTCATGTCTCATACACTGGAAATTATAGTAATGGATTTAATTATTTATATAGGGTTCATCATCTTAAGAAATAGTAAAGTCAACACAAATGAAAAGCCAACCCCAGACCCATAGTAAACTATCTCCCTTCGCCTCTCAGATGTGCCAATACATTCACAAACTCCCTCATCTAGGTAACAAAGAATGCAAAAAGATTTTTTTATATTTTAATTAATTTATTTTTATGTGGGGCTGAAGATTGAACCCGTTGCTTCACATGTGCTAGACAAGCACTCTAACACTGAACTACAGCTTTAGCCCAAGAAACGAATTTAAAAAGGAAATGGTAACAAAGAATAAAAAAAATTTGTATAACTAGACCAAAAACAAAAGGATTTCCCCCTCAAAACTGGCAAAAGGTAGTATTTTTTATATACAATTAATGATTATAAAGTCCTTCTAGGAATGAAGGAGGAAGAAAGAACTTAAAAACTCTTATCTTTTCTCCCACACAAATTATTCAGGAATGGAATTATAATGGTTAGGTACAGGTACACTGCATTGGAGTCAAAATTCAGGAAAAATTTCTTTTATGTGCTTTTCCTAGAAATATAAACTTTTCTCATACACATAAAAACACAATGGAAATACCCAAACTCTTAACTGGCTTCCTAAGGTGAATATGGGGTATTTGGGACTTGAATACAATGACCAATGGTGGTCACTGCCAATGATCTCACCTGCCTAGTTTATAATATGAGGGCTGAACATCCTTCTCTTAAGCCTGAGGAAAAGCAACACTGTCTATGTAGAAATTCACTGAGACACCAACATATTCCCTATGAAAGTAGATATTTAATAGAAATACACTTAAATACCTAAGAAGAGGAATATCCAAAATGAAATCCAGAAATTTTCCACTAGGAGAAAGACCACAAAGACAGAAAAAGAGATAGAGAAGAGGGGCAGGAAGAATTTTTAACTAACAAAGAATAAGAACACACAAACTTCTAACATGTAGGAAGTATATTTAATGCTATCTTTACACTGGCGATGCCTGCTTCACTGAAAGATTTGAGAGCATGCACATATATTTTAAGATATTCTTTTAAGTGAAGGAAATCTTTGCTCAATACAATTTTGAAAAACAACAATAGCATTGTATCCTATCTATTTTGACCATAAATTGTAGTAACATTTTCCTATTATGTATTCAAAAGGTAAGTTGAAGTAGAACTATGTCTAAATGTCTGAGCAAAAGGTCATTCATTATTCCATATTTCTAAGGCTATATTAAAATATAATGTTGCTCATAGTACTCCTTAAATCTGGGTTAGTAGCTGGGCGTTAATCAAGCCTTTTTAACTGTCAAATATCTTAGGAAGACATCTCTTAATTTCTCTATCTCCTTACCCTTATTTTTTTCTTGGATGCACCATTCTCATGAGATTGTCTCTGACTCCTTTATACTGTGTGGCCTTTTTATCCTTTTGAACATGGACATTAAGACCTACAAAAGTATGCATTGTACTTTTGTACTATAAAAGGTATGTATAATGGTTTAGATATTAGTTGTCTCCCAAAAACTCATGTGTGACAGTATAAGAAAGTTTAGAGGTAGAAGCCAGGCAAGGTGGCACATGCCTGTAATCCCAGCTGCTCAGGAAGCTGAGGCAGGACGATTTCAAGTTCAAAGCCAGCCTCAGCATCTTGGTGAGACCCTAAGCAACCTTGAGAGACCCTGTCTCAAAATATAAAATGAAAAAAAAGAGTTGGACATGTAGCTCAGTATTTGAGCACTCCTGGGTTCAATCCCTGGTATAAAAATAATTTAGAGGTTCAATAATTATGTTATGCTAGTTCCAACCTAATTAGTGCATTAATATCCTGAGAAAAGTCAATTGGGTGGTCATTGTAGGCAGGTAAGGTGTGGCTGAAGGAGGGTCATTGGAACATGCTTCTGAGGTAGACATTTGTCCTAGGTGAGAGGAAGTCCCCTTCTTTCTGTTCTTGGTGGCCAGGTCCTGACCTGCTTTCCTCTGCCATGCCCTTCTTCCATGATGTTCTGCCCATCTTGGGTCCAAAACAATGGGGCCAGCTGCCTAGTAAGTGAGACCCCTGAAAACATGAACCCCCCAAAAAACTTTTCCTCCTCTAAAATTGTTCTTGTCAGTCTTTCAGTTATAGCAGTGAAAAGCTGGCTAAAACAGCATGTGGTATGTGAACAGAACTGTAATCTCTCTTATAGGTTAAGTCTATATATCTCTTACTTGATTTGATCAGAGACTTAAGGGGGAAGAGAACTCAATCAACCCAACCACTGCTCTTCATGGTTTCTCCACTGATATTCCATCTTGTCAACACTACGAGTGGGTTTCCATTCTCTTTATATGGCTGTCACAGTGAAGTGTATGCGACCTTGCAATATGACATTTGCACAATTAGCAATTTAGATGGAAGAATTTAAAGATCCACAAACTTATCTTACATTAAGAAGTGTGAAGCATGTGTTATGAGATCCGTGTTTCATAACCTGAACTTTTAGTATAACTTATCACACCTCCCTCATTGAAGATGATTTAGAAAATCTTAAAAGAACAGTTTGTCCTTCAATCTCTGAAAATAAAGCAAAGAAAGGAACAAGTAAGAAAATGAGAAGCAGAATGAAAATTAGAAGGAGAAGGATGAAAAAGAAGAAAGGGTATAGGAAGATGACTACAAAGAGGAGATTGTTCACTATTATTTTAAACATATCCTTTGATCCCAAGAAGAATAAACAGGATTTGCTTTGGCAATCATCAATTTGATCCAGCATTATTAATATGATTCAGCTATAATTTGATGTAAACATGCAGTATAATTTAGTAGATGAGTATATTACAAGGACTTTTCCTAGAGGAGAAAAAGCATCAGTTACCATTTGAAATCTAACAACAAAATCAAATGAATTTAGTATATTACCTTGATCAACAGTTTTCAGCTTTAATGAGATTTTGCATTCTTGATCAAGCTCACTAAATTCAGAACAAACAATAGGAATTGTACTCTCTATCCTCAGCTGGTATTCTTTCCCATCTTCTGATATAGTACTCAATTCAGGTTGTAGCTGGTATAGCAATATATAGAATGTTAGGTTAAAATAGAATTGGTTTTAAAATATAATTTTAAAAACAAATTTTCTTAACAGCTTTTCTTTTGCTAAATGAGCTGGTAATAACTTAAGCACTGGAATTTTTTAACTAAATAAAATCAATTTAGACCAAACCAATTAAAACATAAGCAGCATGCAGAGGAATACACAGAGCTGTTGTACCACTGGGTTAGATGACATTTTGACTCTCCAACCCATGGTTGGATAAGTCATGTCTAAGCTTGTCTGTGATGGGCACTGTAGAATAGAGGAAAAACAGAATTCCATTTTCTTAAACTTGTTTGCTCTTATTCCATTGTAAGTTTGGTTATTTTTAGGATTTACACTCACCATCTTAATCAGAATTTAGTTATATTTTATAGGTAGATCAAATGATTTGTGTCACCTGAAACATCTCAACTCTCAGGATATTTATGAGTTTCTGCTTTCTACAGTTAGACTTTCTACAAGTAGACTTACTGAGTACTAATGCACTCTAATCCAGTTCACAGGTCAATTTTCTTTTTTTTTTTTTTTGAGTTGGGGAATTTGACTAGCTCTCAAAAGAGATGTGCTTTAGTATTGACTATTCTGTTAGCCTAATTTGAAACAGTACTAGAGGCTAACCACTGGGCCTTGACCTTGTCTGCTGGGTGTTACCAAGCAGATCACAAGCATCCTGTGTCCTAAGTCTGTGTCCTTCCCCTCCCACTACGAGTATGCTATTCTGACGATGTGGTTCAGTCTTCTTTTCCTGATGCCTGCTGTGTAACATGAACTTTATCTAGAAAGTTTATTTATTCTGGTCCTGAGTACTGTTCTCACAATCTATCTTTTTCCAGCTTGTCTTCAAACTTGGAGTGACTGCAAATTCTAGTTCTGTGAGTGAGGAGACCTCCAGATGCATGGTTCTTGCCTGCTTGGACCTCTTGATATTGCTCCATGCCTTCCACCACTTCTGATTTCCTGTCACTTCTGCTCACCTGTTAGACCCTAGTGCTACCAGAATAATTAAATATATTGCATTGTTAAATTAGCTCAATCACTGCAATCCATAAAGACTAGACTACCTATTTTATAGGTAGTCTAGCTCTCAGTCTTGGCCTGGTACCTGACTTCAAAAATGCACAATAACTAAATATTGATATGTTAATTTTTAGTTAAATGACAGACTGAATTATGGGGATACAGCCTAAACTTTCATTAGAGCTATTTCTTTTTTTAAATTTTTATTTATTTATTTTTTTAGTCATTTAGAGCTATTTCTTTAAAGATAAATCCACAAGAGCTTGAATTATGATAGTTCAACTTAGGATATGTTCACTATGTTGGTTCAAAAGTGACACACATTAGAAAGAAACCACACATTGAATTTTGAGTTTTGTTCTTTTCCCAGGCTAGCAATAAGCCTGTGCTCTGCAGTGGCAGTGAGTCACAACTCCCAGTCACCAATGTAATCATGAAGGAAAGCAAATAATACCCTACAATTTACTATGTTGCTAAGCTATGACATTAGGCAGGTTAACTGTATTAAATGCATTTTTGACTTAATATTTTTCTCAACTTGTGATGAGTTCCTTGGAAGGTAATACCATTGTAAGTTGAAGGGCATCTGTACATATCAACCTTAGTTCATTAACAGGGATTCTCAAATTTTGTTGTGCATTAGAATTGTTGGAGTTATTTCTCAAAAATACAGAGTACTGAGACTTACCTTTCAGATTCAGCCAGAAACCTTTATGAAAAGATCACAACGTGGGGAATTAGTTCCAGAAGAATAATCTTTCTGATTCATCCCTTCTGCTACATACCTTAATGCCTGCAAAAAATTCCTGGCTTTCGATGGCTAAACTTTGTATATGTGGTTTCTCCAAGAAAAAGATGGATGCACTACAGAATATCTATAAATACAGTTAACAAATAACCATTTAGTAAAAAAAAAATAAAAAATGTGTTATTATTATCTTTAAATTTTTAATTTAATTCTTGGTAGACAGTGCACAGCAGATAAAAGAACTGAGTAATTTAATTACTTGACTGAATTTTTTAAAAAGTTCATCATTATAAAATATTACTCATTCAAATCTCAACATAAAGTGTCACGTAGCCTTTTCACTTAAGATGTATTTGAAAGTAGATAAACATAATATCATCATTGAAAAAATTAAAGCATTGTTTTCCAAAATATTAGAATATAATTTTAAAACTCAGAAAAGACATACAGTTACAGAGACTCTTTGATAATACTCAGCATGTTGCTAAAAAAGATATTCATATGTAGTCACTAAGACTATGTTACTGAGTCATCTAGATATCACTAGAATTGGCACAATTGCTAAAGGAAAATAAAGAAGGAAAGCCTTAGTGTTTTCTATTCTGGGGACAAGAATCTTCTCTCTCTCTCTCTCTCTCTCTCTATATATATATATATATATACACATAATATTGTTTGAACAATTAATACATTAATGAAAAGAAAATCAAATCCAGTTTTTGTTAACATACCCTGTCTCCAAGTCTGAGATTTATGCCATCAAGTTCTAAAAGAGAAAATGCCTGAACTGTGGTCTCCTGTTTCAGCTCCTCTTTGATTTCTTGAGAAGAAAGCCTAGACCAAGCTATGAGAAATCCCACCGAGCTGTTTGTAGGGGAAACATCAAAAGCACACCTACAGAAGAGCCTGGACTCAATCAGCTCCACCACAACCTCTGGCTTTCCTGGAGGTGGAGGTGGAAATGAGGCTGACAGCTGACCTGGTGAGAGAAGAAGCATCATTTCTACTTGAGCATCTTGAAGAATGAAATAATCACAAAAGGCTATAACTTCAGGATTTATCTTTAAAAATGGAAATAAATTCAGTAAAATGATTATTTTCTAGTAGTCAACAAAGCAGCACGTTCACATTGACAAACAATCACATAAGTATTGATTGACAGCAGGGCACCTTAAATCATCAAGCTTATATTACTGCATTTTAAATGTTTGCTCCCCAAAAGTCTGGCTCCTGAAAATAAAAGTAATTTACAATCTTTTAGTCAATCATCTTTTTTAAAAGACATAACAAACATAGTTCAGGTTTAATACATTATAATTCCTTGTTATAAAGTAGTCACTAATGTAAACTTAAATGACTTTCTTTTTTACTCTTATAATGTACTCTCATAAAGCAACTCTTCATTGCTTTAGGTTGAAAGAGCTGTTCACTGGGGAGTGATTGTACCGTCAGTGAAATATATCAAGTGCTAAACAATAGTCTTATTCTTTTCATTTTTATGAGGCTAATATTTGAAATTTTTTTCTAGGAACTCCTATGAAGAGTATATATTTATATTTTAATTCTGGGTATTTGCAAAATTAAATTGGAGGATCTGAAAGGTTTTTTTTTAAAATATTTGAGTGATAAATTTTGTTTTATTTTTCTGAGTAATAAATTCTAAAATAGGTTTTAAAACTACTCTGAAATGTGCATATAATTTTTGTTATATATATGTTATAATTTTATGACAATCACAAAAACCAGTCTTTCAACTCTGTCATTTAGATTTTAGAAAATTCCAAGAGTCCTTCTTTTAAGGTCTCTTCTCTAGAGAAAATATACTTTCGGATATTTGTTAGATATCATATTTTGTTAGGTATCCTATTCTAAAGTTTCAATGATAAATAAATTGTTTTCAAATTAATTAACAAATATTTTGAGAAACATTTCAAACATAAGCCAAGTCAGCAAACTTATGTTAAATATTTTCACTCTTGTGTTACTTCCCCAAATTATATACAATTTTGTATAGTATATATTTCCCAATTAGCTGCAGAAACATTTTGAATAGCACAACAACTTGCTGAAAATTATTTTTACTGAAGGAAGAAAAGTGTTTTACTGTAAGTACATCATAAAGAAAATCCATACCTACTATGCAGATTAGCCAAATTATTACACTTGATGCTTACTGCTACTATGGCATATTGCTTTATTCTTTTATGAATTTACATCAGAGGACCTAATTAAACAGCTTTTCATATATAATAACAATTTATTTAGAGAATATCAGAAAAGGAGGTTGAAAAATCTATTTGCAATTGGAACAGTCCCTGGAACACCAATTTAGTGCTTTATTTAATAACTTTTTTGTTTACTTATTTATTTTTAAATTTTTTATTGGTGCATTATAATTATACTTATTGGTGGGATTTGTTGTTACATGTTCATACATGCACATGACATAACAGATTTTTAAAAGACAAAGCAAATTAATTTTTAGACCTAGCACTTTGAACATTATATCTATCCTGATTTATTTGATCTCATTATGATTTTTTTTTCACCATATAAATCACCTTTGTTAGAAATAGTAATTATATGTCAACTTTATCTCACTAATTTGACTAGAGGTCCCATGATAAGGCTAATGTTTGAACAAATGTTTTAATTTTTGCCCATCTTGTAGGCATATGTCATATATTTGTTATTTGGACTATTTTAGAGTGATTTATTTTAAAAAAATATTATAAGTAGGCAATTTCTTAATATTTAAAATAACTTTAAAACATTAAGCAAAAATAGCAAAGAAAAAATATGGACTGAATGGAGTAGAAAAATATTGACTACCAGTAATACCTTTGGTGTTTAACTTTCAAAACTTGTTTGTCACAAATGCAATCTTCCCAGAAAACAAAATTTTTAAAAATTCTTCTTAGGTATACATGACAGTAGAGTGTATTTTAATACATTATACCTATATGAAGTTTAACTTATTCTAATAAATATAACTTATTATAACCATTCTTGTGGTTGTACATGATGTGGAGTTACACTGGCCGTGTATTCATATATAGACTAGGAAAGTTATGTCCAATTCATTCTACCATCTTTCCTCTTCCCATCTCCCTCTTTCTTTCATTCCCCTTTGTCTAATCGAATGAACTTCTATCCTCCCCCACTTATTGTGTGTTAGCATCCACATATCAGAGAGAACATTCGGCCTTTGGTTTTTGGGGATTGGCTTATTTCACTTAGCATGATAGTCTCCAGTTCCATCCATTTACCTGCAAAAGTCATAAAGCCATTCTTTTTAAGGCTGAGCATTATTTCATTGTGTATATATACTACATTTTCTTTATCCATTCGTCTATTGCAGAGTACCTAGGTTGGTCCCATAGCTTAGCTACTGTGACTTGAGCTGCTATAAACATGAATGTGGCTGCATCACTGTAATACGCTGATTTTAAGCCCTTAACTGGGTCAAATGATGGTTCCAATCCAAGCATAGAAGACAAAATTGTACTGCAGATTATACTGCATAATGTGATTTCTTAGCTACAATATATCATAAATATTTACTAATGTCAAAGAACACACCTCTACATTTTCATGGTGTTTGCAGAATCTCTTGTAATTGCCTGCACATCAGAAATTTTTAGCCAATCAATGGTTATTATATATTTGCATCTTTATTTTACCATTATTAGAAAAAAGGCCTCTTATAAATACTGGGCATGCACATGTCCTTGAATAGATCTTGAAGATAGATTTTTTTGAAGTAAGAATTGAAGCACAAACACATGTGGATTTTTAAAAGTGTTGAGATAAATTACCAACTTTTCTCATAAAAAAATTCTACCAACATTTTGTTTCCTTAATTCTTTGTACTTCTGCCAACTCTAGGAATGTATCTTAAAAGCACAATAAAGTGCTTTTTATATTTGATATGTACCAGACTGTGGCATTATCAAATGTTAGTATACTCAACATTTAAAGTCCCAAAATATAAGTACTTTTAAAAATAGTTTATAAATACATTATTAAACACAAAATTTTATACTCACCAACACAATCCCCTCCAATTTCTATTTCTTCTGGTCCACATGTGTGTAATTTTGCATCAGAAATAGCTGCAAAAAGTTAAGGTTTTATATTTAACTGTGCATAAAAGTATAAATCTACATATAGCTAAGATGACAATTCCTTGGAGAAGTATGTTTTAATGACTAAAACAGATTTTCTTAGTTGTTCTCTCTGGGTTTATTTTTTTTTCATAATAAAAATTTTTCCCCAAAGATAAGATCAAATGGAAGTAAGGAATTATATTTCAAAACAGTCATAATTTTGTATCTTGTTTTCTAAATTTGAATCTTCATTATTAAGTAATGAAACTCACTGATGAGGATGTGAATTCTCACACATTACTAGTTGGACATACAAAATGGTATGGTAACTTTGAAAGAGTTTGATAGTTTGATGTATAACTAAGTATATTCTTATGCTAATACAGCAATTGTGCTTCTTGGCATTTTCCCAGAGGGTTAAAAACTTATTTTTACACAAAAACTTGAGCAGGATATTTACAGCAACTTTATTCATAATTGTTCAATTTATGATTTTTGTAGCTAACAATGTTAGTTTTGTATTTTAGAAATATTTGCTTAACCTAAGATTACAAGTATTTTCACCTGAAAGTGAAAATATTCCCTGGAAGATTTATTTATATTTTTAGCTTTTACGGTTTTGTCTATGACAATTGTAATTTCTTTTTTGTATTTTGACAAGAGATGTGAACTAAGTTTCTCGCATACAATCATATTTTTGCTTGTGTTGAAAATGCAATTCTTCCTTTGTAGAATTGGTTATGTTCCTGTATTGAATATCAAGTAACTGTGTTGCTCTTTTCTGGATATTATTCTTTTTCATTCATCTACCTGTTTATCCTGCTGTAAATATACACTGTCTACATTATTATTATTTGGAATCAGTTTGAAAGTCAGGTAGTATAAGTTGTTCAACTTATTACCTTACCAATAGTAAGTTTTGAGTATTACAGTTATTTTGTGTTGCCATGTGAATTTTAGAATGAATTTGTCAATTTCCACAAGAAAAATTATTGACATATATATTAGGAACATTCTGGAACAACAAATTAGTTTGTGAAGAACTAGCACAATTACAGCAATCTGTATGCGGGGTAAAACTGGGAGTTCATAACCCACTTGAATCAAACTGTGAAATATGATATATTAAGAACTATGTAATGATTTGAATGACCAACAATAAAAGAAAATAAAAAATAAATTAAAAAAACAAAACAGCAAAAAAAAAAAAAGAACTAGCACATTAACATCAAGTCTTTCAATCCATAATAGTTTCTCTCTTCATTGACTTAGGCTTTCATGTTTCTCAGCAAAGTTTTATAGTTTTCCCTATACAAGTCTTGTGCATCTTTTGTCAGATTGATTCCTAAGTGTTTCATGATTTTTGGTTTATAATTGGTAAGTTAGATGAAATTTCTGAATATTCATTGCTATTATAAAAAATGCAAATGATTTTCACATGTTGATCTTTTTTCCTTCAACATTGTTAAACTCACCTCTGGTAGCTATTTTATAGATTCCACTGGAGTTTTTTGAAAATGGATGATCATTTCATCTGCATTTATATTCATGAGGTTATTGTTCTACAGTTTCCTATTCTTGTATATCTATGTTTGGTTTAAGTTTTAGAGTATGTTGTCTTCACAGAAGTTCAGAAGTAGCTCCTTTTCTTTTATGCAGAAGAGTTTATGCAAAATTGGTATTATTTCTTCCTTAAATGTTTACAAAATTCCCGATGACAACCATCTGGGCCAATTCATCTTTGTGGGATGAATTTTAACTAGAAATATAATTTCTTTTTTAAAAACATATTTATTTTTTAGTTGTAGTTGGACATAATACCTTTTATTTCACTTATGTATTTTTATGTGGTGCTGAGAGTTGAACCCACGGTCTCATACATTCGAGGTGAGCGCTCTACCACTGAGCCACAATCCCAGCCCTAATTTATTTTTTAATATTTACTTTTTAGTTGTAAATTGACACAATACCTTTATCTATCTATATCTATCTATCTATTTATTTATTTATTTAGTGTAGTGCTGAGGATCAAACCCAGTGCCTCACACATGCTAGGCAAGCACTCTATCATAGAGTCACAACCCCAGCCCCTAGAAACATAATTTATTTAATAGATATAAGACAATTAAGGTTATAAGTTTATTTTTTAATGGCTTTTGACTATCAGCATATTTTAAAAAAATTTGTCTATTTCATCTAAGTTGTCAAATGTACTGGCACAGAGTAGTTCATAATAATTGATTTTTGGTTTTAGTTTTTGTAGTTGTAGAATTTGTAGTTTAATCACCTCTCTTATTCATGGTACTGTGTTTGCTGTAGTTGTTGTTGTTGATGTTGTTGGTGGTAATGGTAGTAGGATGTGCATGTATAGTGCTGAAATTGAACCCAGGACTTTGTACATGCTAGGCTTTATCACTGAGCTATATCCCCAGTCCCAATATTGTCTTTCTTTACTGATCAGACTGGCCAGAGAATTGTTAATTTTATTGAACTTCTCAAAGATCCATCCTTTGATTTTATTGCATTTTCTTTATTGTATCTCATTGCTTTCTATTTTGATCATTTCCTTTCACCTTTTTGCTCTGAGTCTCATTTATGCTTTTTAGTCTCTTATTATATAAACAGACACTGAATTTATGACTCTTCTTGTCTTTCATTATAGATGTTTAGTGGGTTTTAACACTAATTAGCTTCAAATTTTCCTAGTATTCTAATTTTCTCTAATTTCTTTTCTATATTAGAGCTCAGAATTTGTTTTATATGCCAAATGCTTCATATCCACTTGTAAAGAATGTTTGTGTGAATGAAGTCTTCTTTAAATGTCATTTCTATCAAGTTCATTGACAGAGTTATTCTAATCTCCATTTTTGCTGTTTCTGTTTTTATATGCTCAATCAATTATTGGCAGATGGATGTTAATTTCCAATAATAATTATAGATTTGCCCATTTCTGTTTATAAAATTATCAGTTTTGCTTCACATATTTAGAATCTGTCATTAGGTGCATCATCATCATACAATGGAACTGTATGTCCTCTTGTTGAACTGATCATTTTATCCTTAGGAAATGACCCTTCTTTTCCCTGGTAATATTCTTTGGCCTGTAATCTACATTGTCTAATATTAATATAGCTACTCTAGATTTCTTGTGATTAGTGTGACTTAAATTACATCTTTTATCTTTATATCTTTTATTTAAAATTTATTTTTAGTTGTAGATGAACACAATACCTTTATTTTATTAATTTATTTTTATATGGTGCTGAGGATCTAACCCAGTGCCTCACAGGTACAAGGTGCCACTGAGCTACAACCCCAGTCCCAATCCTTATACCTTTAAACCCATTTTTCTTTATATATGAAGTATTTCTCTAGATAGTCTATAGTTGGATCTTGCTTTTAAACCCAGTGTGGCAGAACAAAATGCAGAGGTCCCTCAATGATCAGGCCTTGCTGCCCTTTCATACAGGTCTGTGCTTTGCCGCACTTACTGGATCCAACATCTCTGTCCTGCTATCAGTCTGTGCACAGCACATTTACTGCTTTAGGGCTTGTCACTTGCTGTGATTGCTGTTTGGCATGATTTTCCCCTTACACTTTGACCACAAACTGTTTACCCTCCAGCTCTCAGCACCAATGCCATTTCATCAGGAAAGGCTTTCTCTAGTGACATGGCATTGCAAATTACATTCTCCCCTTACCTCCATTTCTACAGCAGATTTTAATCTTTCCATTCGTGCTACTAATAGCAATTACTAACTGCACAAATATTTTGTGCTGTGAAGTCAGGGACCACTATGGGAAATTAATGACAAAATAAATATAAATTATTTCATTTACTAAAATTTTTCATGTATTCCCCCAAACAAAATAAGAATATATTTCTATAGCATTATCTTCATAAATCAGTCTCTATTCTTGTGTAGACAATAATGCCTTATTTCCTTAGAAGTTTTGACTAGTGATGATATATTCACAAGAAATTTTGAAAATAATATAACTGTGAAAATATAATGGGAAACTGGGATGTTTGACATTGTTTTTATGGAAAAAAAGAGTTACAAACCTGCAAAATATTAAAACTGTTATTTTTGCACTGCCTATACAAATAAATACTTAAGAAAACTCTTTATGCTGGCATTAAGAAATAGTTTTTCATGAGGTTAAAAATGATAGAAACTTTAAAGAAACTCTTTTTCCTAATAATACTGGTTCATATTCTATATCTATAATGAGTAAAATGATTTTTTTGTGGGACCAGGGGTTGAACCCAGGGCCTTAGTGCATGCTAGGCGAGCACTCTACCAGCTGAGCTATATTCCCAGCCCAGTAAAATGATTTTTGAGATTGGACATTTAGTATGGCTAATTTGGTTATTAAAACTCAAAATAAGGGTTTATTTTAACTACTCTAATACTTGAATAACTTTTATTTGTTTTGCTGCATGTATGTTATTTAGGGTTTGTTAGTTTGAGGACTCTAAAATATTTATGTGTTGTGTTACTGACATAATTAAATACTATTTGCTGAATCAAATGTTTACATAAGTTGAATACTCTGATCTGCAATAGTATCTCCCAGCATTTTCAGTCTCCCACATGTGATATGGTTGGGCCCAGATAACACACTGCAGGTTAGTTTCTTTTCCAAATCAGTGATACATGAGAACATCCATCCTTCCAGAGAGAGTACAGGATAAACCCCCAATTTATCGGCTTCATCATTGTCTAACCAATCTAAGCCAAAAAAAAAAAAAATCCATGATGTAGTGTCTTTCTGTTTTGAGCTTCTTGCATCTGAAGGGTTATGCCACTAGTTCTATTAAACACTACTATCATTTGTTGAATCTCTTTTTATTCAAAATACCAAGTCATGACATCCTGATGTAAAGGACACATTCTCTCTTTTGGAAGAGTTCCTAAGTCATAATTGAGTAGAGAGAAAATGAAACAGTGTTTCATTAAGCTCAATTATCTTTGGTGAGCTTTACATTAGTATGTTCTGGGCACTCCAAAAAGGGTCTCTATTTCACAACATCCTTAGTGAACATCATGGTCAGAGTCAGACTCATGAGTCTGGTGTGAATTCTTCATCTGTGACTGTCATGTCTCCTCTTGGATAACAGACCAAATAGAACTTGATTACCCTCTCTTCACAATCTAATATTTACACCCCAGCCTTAGTAACTCAAAGAAAAATCCTAGATACTTACTGTCTTTGATTCCTCTCTTTCCTTCTCCCATATCCAGTTCACCAGGTCTGTCTGAAAATGACACCTAGTCTAAGAATTTCCACCCCTGTCCCCTTTAAGTCACCACCATTTCTCTATGGAATGAATGCAACAGCCTACAGGCATCTTTCTGCAGGAGTAATGTTATTTTAAATTCAACCCCAAGAGCGTATTACTCACCTTTTTAAAAGTCCCTAAGATTTTACACTGTAGTTAATACTCAATCTAAGTTTTTACCATGAACTGAAGACCCTACATTTACCATCACCTTCTTGCTTCTCTGACCTCATCTCCTAAGACAATCCACTTGCTCTATTCGTGGCCAGCTTTCCTCCATCAGTTCTTTGATTTCCTCCATCAGTTCTATCTTCCTACACAGCTGAGGACATTTGCATTTGCTGTTCTTTCTACTGAGAATGCTTTACCCCCATATTTTTTCTTGACTGCCATTTGCCTCATTCAGATGTCAGCCCAAGCTCATCAGCTGTTCAGAGATTTCCACAGGTATCCTTTAAAATAATAGCATCCCTATGCCAACCCATTCCTATTGCATGCACCAGTTTTCTTTATTTTATACCATATTAATTTCCAAAATAGTTTTATTTTTGTTTTTTGATCAATGTTTTAGTTTAGAATGACTTTAGAATCTCACAAAACAAAACATTTTAAAAAGTAACCTAGAGTGGCTAAGATTGTGGCTCAGCAGTAGGGCACTTGCCTAGTGCGTGAGAGGCCCTGGGTTCAATCCTCAGCACTACATAAAAATAAATAAATAAAACAAATTATGTCCAACTACAACTAAAAATTAAATATTTTAATTTTTTTTAAAAAGTAACCTAGAGCTTTTCTATACATCCCTTATCTATGTTCTGCAAATGTTAACATATTACAAAACCATGATACATTTATCAAAGCTAAGAAGTTGACTTCAGGTTTAGCCTCTTAAATAAACTGAAGATTCCTACTGATTGCCCTTTCTGTTCCAGTGTCCAATCCAGGATATCATATTAAATTATATGTCATGGTTTTTTTTTCTAATTAATAACAGCTTCTCACTTGTTCTTGGTGTCTCATAATTTTGACATTTTAAAAATATATTATTCAGGTGTTCTGTAGAATGTTCTTTAATGTGAGTTTATATAAATTTTCTCATGATTAGACTTGGTGTATGGATTTGGGGGAAGAAGACCAAAAAAGAGTAGCACCCTTTTTAATGACTGTTATCAGGAGACACATGATATCCACATGCTTTATCACTACTGATGTTGACTTTGATCAAATGTAGGACCTGCCAAGTGTCTTCGATGTAAAATTGTGATTTTTTCCCTTTCCATACACTATTATTTGCAAGCAAGTCACAAAGTCTGTCCCACAGTTAAAATGAGAATAAACAAGCTCCATCTTCTAAGTAGAATAAAAGCTAAAAATATTATTCACAGTTCTTCTTTAAGAAAGATGTGTCTTCTTTCCTATATTTATTTCTCTAATCATATACTTGTATAATAAATGAATATTTATAGTAAGTGGATGTTAATTAATATAGTGAATGGCTATTCATTTTATTCTTTAAGATATACCCATTTTATTTTTACATATTGTCTGAGGGATTTCAGCAGAATATAAGTTTCATGAGGACAAAGATTTCATTTGTCTTATTCAGCACTGTGACTTTACGGCCTAAAATACTTGCTGGAACTGGATAAACAGTCAATAACTATTGGTGAGAGAAAGATAAAATGAGATAAAATCCAGATTTTAATAACTCAGCATCCTCTATCCTTTAATTAAAGAGGGGAAGAGTGCAAGAAAATCAATGAATTTTTAACACACTCAATAATTATGTGCAGGGGGAATAAGGTCAGGAGCCTCCTTTGATACTTTCACATCAGTATATAGTTTTGAGCACTTTAACATCCTGGCCAAGAATCCTAAATGAACCTGGCCAAAGTAAACACCAAATTTAGATTCAGTTTTGTGAAAACGGTAGACAAGTCTGTTACTGCGATTTGCAATAGCTCCATACCACCCGTCCAGAGACAAGCACAAATGCACCCACCCACAGTTCCATGATTAGCAGCTCATGTGTATTACTGCTGTTTTCTTACCTTCTGCACAATAGCCCATACATCCCTGAGTGGGTTGTAGTAAGTACACATAAAATTGCCCACAGTTTCGTACAGACACTGGGATTTGAAAGAGACAGCAGTCTTTTGTAGTGCTAAACAAAAACTGCCACGTGGCACAAGCTGTCAGTTGCTTTATCTCCCCAGGAGAAGGCAGTGTTTCTGAATCTCTTAGAGAAAGCCAGATGGGGGCCTGAGTTCCACAGTGGTTCATCTTTTGCATCAGAGAAAACAAGAATTGAAAATACAATTTATTTTCATACAAGTACAGCAATTACTTTGCATTTCTTCTAAACAACATTTAAAATATTAAATTATCAATCATTTAAAATTAATCAGTTGTACCTATACAACACAAGAAAAATTAATATGAATTTACTACAAATACTTTGATTTACTGCTTTAATAGTAAATTTGAACCAAATAGATTGATTCTATTTGTTACCTTATTGTAAAAAAGAGAAATTCTTTGTCAGATAACTTCCTAAAATAGCTTGATGAACTTTCTAAAACAAGGTAAATCAATCTGAAGTAATCTTCACAAAGAAAAATTGGTCTTGGAAATTTCTTACAAAATAGATGGGAATATTATATGTAAGAAGCTGATGCAGAGTTCAAGATGCAACAAAAATCAGAGGAGAAGGAAGACATTGTTCAAAATCTAACGACGGACAAACTATTTGTTAATATGAGAAAAAAAGTGAAGCAAAAACCTCACATGAAGCCTACTGTATAAATTACTCACAGGTGAAAAAATAGAAAACTAATAAAGAAGAAATAAGAAGAAACTGTATATTATTTGGGAAGAACTGACTGAACTCATGACCTTGGACAGGACACTCAACAACCTTCTCTTTTTTATGAAGGGATAGTAGTTCCCACCCAAAGTGCTATAGTGAAGTGTAAATGAAGCAATGTAATCTAAAAATTCTATGACCATAAATACACAATTTACAAAAAATAATACAGATGTCTAATGCATTAGAATATTTGGTATTGGAAAAGGCATATCTATCTAGTTATGTGGGAATTAAAAATTAGCATTATGTTTTATTCATATATTTATATATTTTTTATTTAGGTGCTGGGGGTTTAACCCAGGGTTGCTTTACCCCTAAGCTTTTCATTACCCCAACACTTTTCATTATCTTGAGACAGGGTCTCACTAGGTTGCTTAGGGCCTCAATAAGTTGTTGAGGCTGATTTTGAATTTGTGATCCTCCTGTCTCAGCCTCCTGGATCTCTGAGATTACAGACTTGTACCACCATGCCCATCAATATTATGTTTTAAATAATGTATATATCAAAGCCTCAAAAAGACATTAGTCTTCACCAATCTTACATTTAAAAATAAATCTCACTAAACATACTAAAATGATGACAAGATTATATGTACATTTGCTAAAATTGTAGAATTAATTATTATGGCAAAATTCTCAATGTGCACATATAGGGCAATCACATAAGTGCATCTAGTATGTTCTTATTACAGAATATTGCTTTAAAACTGATGTAAAGAATTTATAAATGGAACATACTAATCCTATAGCTATAACTAAGAAAAAGCATGTTACACATTTGAACATAAAGCATAACCTACAAAACAATATATATAATAGAAAAGCAAATGTTAATTATAGTTATTAATGTGTTGATAGATTGTGAATAAGTGCTGTTCTATTTCTATCCTTTCTTTATTTCCTTAGCATTCTAGAATACACATGTGTTATTTTAAATTCACAAATAGAAATTTATTTAAATAGACTTATATTTTTCCTGTAAGGAAAAATAAAATACTATTGAGTCTTAACTTGAATGCTCTAAATCCTTGATTCAAAAAGGGAATAAGAGGTTGGGACAAGGAACTCTTCTCCACAGGGCACAGGAAAACCATTTTATTTTTACGGTTGGTGAGATTCTGTGATCTACAAATGATCAGTTCAGCCAAAGAAAAAGAGCACAAATGTTTAAGAATGTAGTGAATTTCATCCAATTTTCTTAAAGGTTATTTTTAAATTCTGACTTTTTTAGCTACTTGTAAATTAAATGTCACAAAGTGACAAGCAAATAAGCAAAAAAGAGAAAAGAGACTTGGCTACAATGGCACAAGTCAAAATAGAATGTCTTTAAAATATGAATGTCTTTTCTGAGATCTTTTTACACTACAGCTTAAACAGAAAAATAATTTCTGCTTCTGCATAATTTGCAAAGTGTGTATACTGATAAGCAAAACAAATCTTCTTCTGAGACATAATCCTGAATGACATGGTCTCACTTCAAGTGTTAAACAGTAGCTTCACGTCCTCCAGGTCAAACTAAAAATTAACTTTAAGAATAAAATCACACCTAATGCAGTGAGATTACATATAGGAAAATCATGAGTGATGAAAGTACCTTTAGTAACTTGACAAGTGTGACATGGATGCATTTCTTGAAAATTACAGAGTCTGTCTTAGTTACCTATCACATCTGAACACTTGCTTATTCCTGGACTCTGTTGGAGGCTTGTGACTGGGGAAAGGGCTCATGCTGAGGGAGATACTGCATATTGTACAGCCTCCTCCCAGGTAATGACTTCAGTTATGTGATTCAGACTCTGCCTGTGTGCACATCTTTAAAATGAAGTAACAAAAGTAACCTCAAAGCCTCAGTAGGAGATCAAGTGAGGTTACCTAGGTGATCATGTCCACCAGTGCAAGAAATGCATGAGCTGCAAAATAAATGTCAGGTTCACATCCTTCCTTTCCATTTTGATCCTATAACTGGGGAGGTTGAGGAAATAAGTTTAGTTTTAAGAGATTCAGACTTAGTCTCATTCCTTAGATCATTTGGTTAAAATGTGATAGCAATAGTGAAAGTTGAACTGCAAGTCTAACTGGTCAAAAGTGTCACAAGTAGAGATGATGTCTATGTCATGATAGCATCTTCAGCTGAATGGAGACTACTGATAAATTAGGGGAAACTTGCATTTGAAAATCACAATTTACACTAACTGAACTTCTCAATGGAAATTCAAGGAAGATCATGACAAGGACTGAAAGTAGACTGAAAAACACCTAAGACATCCTGCCTTTGGAGTTTATTTTACTTGTGCTTATTCTTTGAGACATTTTGGAAGAAAATCAGTTTGTAAAGTAAGTCATTTTGCTTAGATAATTAAACAAGACACTGTCAGGATCAAAATCATATCATGCATTCAAAATAGTAAATTTTGTGAAAAGTTGCAGAAAATTAGATCTGGTGTGACTGAATGTAAAAAAAGTTCAAAAACTTTTAAAGTTTAAAAAATAACTTCATGACACAGTTAAACATATCTGACAAAGTTAAACAGATGTGCTTTTTAAAAAAACATATGCTTGTCTATTCGTAAGTGAATAAAAAGAAAGTAAGTTGGCCACACCAATTGTGGGCTTACAGAAGAAGTCACAGTGGGATGAGGCCAGAGGCCTCTGAGTATTCAATTTGCCGCAGATGCATTGTCTGCATGTTGGGTCAGGAAATACTTGGAGATTTCACTACCAAGCTGGTTCTCTTCAGTTTGAAATAGGAGGTGGTCAGCTTATTAATTTCAAGCCAGTGGAGTCAAACCAAAGCACAAAAACATACAAAATTTACTGTTTGCAGGTTACCTGTGGTTAAGCAGAGGAGTCCTGTAGACTGACTGACTGCCTATGTTCAAAGTTTGGCTTTGAACTGGAAACTGTTAACTAGGTGACTCTAGAAGGGTTATGCATGAGAATATCTGTGTCCTGAATAGTTTGATGAAAAAAAAATAATTACTGGTAGATTGTAACCTGGGGTTATGAAAATTATATAAGATATTGCAGACTGCATGGAGGACAACATCATTACCATTACTATTATCATTACACTAGGCTATGCCTTCAAATTACCTCAAGCTAATAATTAAACTAATATTTCAGCATAGGAAATAAACTGTAAATAATAAGACTCAATCCTTATATGAAAATGTACATAAGAAGTGTGAACTGAAGTACCTCAACACATTTAGTTGGCATCTCAGCAGGTCTGTCAAAGAGGAGAAATCGATACCATCCAGAAGAAAGGGAATGATCACATATCATCTCTTGAGCAGCCGACTGCTGGAGGTGCATCGAGTCAAAATGAACATTTCTATAAGGACTCTGAAGTAACCTGTGGCCCCCAGCAGAGCATTCTGGAGATAGACAGAAAGATAGGTGTCTTTGTGAAATGTGTTTTGCTCATTGGCATAATTCAGTCTTCAAATTAAAAAAATAAAAGAAGCAAATAAACTCACTTTTGCACATAGAGACCATCTGAAATCTCAGGGTCTCTTAAAAAGTCAAAGGTGACTTTTCTTGAAATTTCTATAAACACAATAAACAAATCAAGAAAACTAGGATGTATTGTTGAGGTACTTCAACTTTAAGAACTTTATTTTCATTTAATCTGAGTAAGGTAACAGAACTAATTGCTCTTGCATTAGAATATGTTTATTATGTCCATCTCAAGTCACACGCCCTACAATGTCATAATGTCATTATGACCCTCCACAAATGGCTTTCCTCCAAAGTAAATACAAAAATCCCAAATCCTACCTCTGCCAGATCCTGAAATGCAACAAAGTGAACTAAAATATTTTAATGTCGATTCCATTTTTGCAATTTGTGAAGCACCTGGTATAGGAAGGTTTAAAAGGTTTTAAAGTTCAATCTTCCTCCTTCCAACCCCCATCCTGGGGATAGATAGAACCCAGGACTTTGCTCAAATTAGGCAAGGGCTCCACCATTGAGTACATCCCCAACAATTGAGCAACCTCTCCAGCCTGCCCATCTTCTTTCTGTCTTTCCTTCCCTCCTGCTTGCCTCCCCATCTTCTTCCTTATGTCCATCCTATTGAAAGTACCATTTTACAATGAAGCACAAGAAAATGAATGGTTGAAGGAAGAAGGCTGGAAGAAGAAACAAGAACAGGGAGGAAGGAACAGATCTGATGTTCTTCTAGGGAACCTGTCTTCTGAGCAGTCTTTGCTTGACCTGGAAGATATTTTTTCTGCCAAATTCCACATAGGCCGAACACAAAGCTCCTTTCCTCAGCAGGAGGAAAGGAGAGAACAGCAGGCCGAAAAACAGTCTTCCTGTCTGTTTTTGTGCCAATACCCTGCCATTTTTGTTACTATAGCTCTGTAGTATTTAATGTCTGATGATGACTGCCTCATCACTTTTCTCGCTAAGGATTGCTTTGGCTATTCTGGCCTCTTGTTTTTCTAAATGAATTTCATGACTGCTTTTTCTATTTATATGAAGAATTTAATAGGAATTGCATTAAATCTATATGAAGCTTTAGGTAGTATGGCCATTTTGACAATATGCATTCTGACTATCCAAGAACATGGGAGATCTTTCCGTCTTCTAAGGTCTTCCTCAATTTCTTTCTATATTGTTGGGTAGTTTTCACTGTAGAGGTCTTTCACTTCTTTGTTAGGTCGATTCCCAAGAATTTTATTATTTTTTGAGGCTACTGTGAATGGGATAGTTTTCTTGATTTGTGTTTCAGCTGATTCGTCATTGGTGTATGGGAATGCAATTGATTTATGGGTATTAATTTTATATCCTGCTACTTTGCTGAATTCACTAATGAGTCCTAGAAGCTTTTTGATGGAGTTTTCTGGCTCTTCTAAATAAAGAATCATGTCATTGGCAAATAGGGATCATTTGAGCTCTTATTCGTATCCCTTTAATTTCTTTCTTTTGTCTAATGGTTCAGACTAAGGTTTCCAAGACTGTGTTGAATAAAAATGGTCAAAGAGGCACCCTTCCTTGTTCCAGTTTTTAGAGGGAATGCTTACAATTTTTTTTTTCCATTTAGAATGACATTGGCCCTAGACTTGGCATTGATAGCTTTTACTATGTGGAAGTATAGTCCTATTATCGCTAGTTTTTCTAGTATTTTGAAGATGAATAGATGCTGTATTTTTGTCAAAAGCTTTATCTGAATCTATTGAGATAATCATGTGATTCTTGTCTTTAAGTCAATTGATGTGATGAATTACGTTCATTGATTATTCTGAATGCTGAACTAATCTTGCAACCCTGGGAAGAACCCCACTTGATCATGATGAACTATCTTTTTAATGTGTTTCTATAAATGACTTTCCAGTATTTTATTAAGAATTTTTGCATCTATGTTCATGATGCTATTGATCTGAAGTTTTCTTTCCTTGATGTATCTTTGTCTTGTTTTGGTATCAGGGCGATACTAGCTTCATAGAGTGAGTTTGGATGGGTTCTCTCCTTTTCTGTTTCATGGAATAATTTGAGGAGGATTGGTGTTAGTTTTTCTTTGAAGGTCTAATAGAACTTGGCTGAGAATCCATCTGGCCCTAAGCTTTTCTTTATTGGTAAGCTTTTGATGGTATCTTCAACTTCATTGCTTGAAATTGATCTTTTAAAATTGTGAATGTCCTCCTGATTCAATTGGGTAGGCCATATGTCTCTAAAAATTTGTTAATGTTTTCATGATTTTCTATTTTACTGGAATGTAGTTTTCAAAGTAGTTTCTGATTATTGTCTATATAAAGGGTAGGTATTGGCACAAAAGCAGACATGAAGAACAATGGAATAGAATAGAAGACACAGAGGCATATCCATATAAATACACTTATCCCATACCATACAAAGGTGCCATTAAAGTACATTGGAGGCTGGGCACAGTGGCACATTCCTATAATCTCAGCAACTCAGGAGGCTGAGAGAGGAGGATCATGAGTTCAAATCCTGCCTCAGCAAAGGTGAAGCACTAAGCAACTCAGTGAGACACTGTTTCTAAATAAAACACAAAATAGGGCTGGGAATGTGGGTTGATGTCAGTGGTTGATGGCCTCTCAGTTAAATTCCCAGTACCTCTTCTCCAAAAAAAAAAAATACATTGAAGAAAAGATAGCCTTTTCAACAAATGGTGCTGGGAAAACTGGAAATGAATATGTATTAGAATGAAATTGAACCCTCTCTCTCACATGGCACAATACTCAACTCAAAGTGGATCAAGGACCTAGGCAATGGACCAGAGACTCTGTGCCTACTAGAAGAAAATGTAGGCCCAAATCCATTGTGTCAGCTTAGGAATCATCTCCCTCAACAAGACTCCTAAAGCATAAGAAGTAAAATCAAGACTCAATACATGGGATGATTTCAAACTGAAAAGCTTCTTTATAGCAAAGGAAACAATCAATAATGTAAAGGGAAAGCCTACAGAATGGGAGGAAATCTTTGCCACCTGCACCTCAAATATAGCATACATACCAGAATATATAAAGAACTCAAAAACTTAACACCAAAGAAAACCCACAAACAACCCAATCAATAAATGGGGAAAGAAACTGAACAAGCACTTCACAGAAGAAGAAATATAAATGATACAAAAAAATAGGAAAAAATGTTCAACATTTGTACCAATTAGAGAAATGGGAATTAAAACTACACTGTGATTCCATCTTTCTCCATTCAGAATGACAATCATCAAGAATACAAGTAACAATAAATGTAGGCAAGGATGTGGGGGAAAAGGTACGTTGATACATTGCTGGTGGGACTGCAACTTGGGACAACCACTCTGGAAATGGAGATTCCTCAGAAAACTTAGAATGGAACCATCATTTGACTCAGTTATCCCAATCCTTGGTATATACCCAAAGGACTTAAAATTAGCATTCTATGGTGATGCAGCCACATCAATGTTTATGGCAGCTTAAGTCACAATAGCTAAGTTATGGAACAAATCTTGGTGCCATTTTCTGAATGGATAAAGAAAATGGATACACACACACAATGGACTATTACCCAGCCATACAAAGAATAACTGTATGACTTTTGCAGATAAATGGATGGAACTGGAGACTATCATGCTAAAGGGAAATAAGCCAATCCTAAAAAATCAAAAGCCAAATGTTCTCTCCGATATGTGGATGCTAACACACAATAACTGTAGGAGGGAAGAATAGAATTTCATTGGATTAGACAAAGGGGAATGAAGGGAAGTGGGAGATAGGAATACAAAAGACAGTAGAATGAATCATACATAACTTTTCTATGTTCATATATGAATACACAATCAGTGAAGTTCCACATCACAAAAACACAAGAATGGGATCCTAATTAGAATAAGTTATACTCCATGTAGGTATAATATGTCAAGATACACCAATTACATACATATTACTATGTATATATACTGTTATACATACTATATTATGTTTTATACATAATATTGTGCATAATATACATAATTATACATAATGTTACACATAATATATGTATCACACATACAAATTACTATGTGTGTATAACATTATACATATATAATCCTATGTATGCATGATACATTTAAAAATAACAAATAAAAATAAAAAAATTTTTTAAATGTGGTGCATCCTCACAATGTTATATATTTCCATCTTAAAAAGAAATGTATTGACACACAAAAAACATGAATGTATTTTGAAAATGTTAAGCCATGTCAAAGAAGCCAGACACAAAATACAGCTAATTGTGTGATTCCATTTATACAAAATAAAAAGAGGTGGCAAATAAATTGAGATATCCCAATAACAATTACTTATGACAGGGGATGTTAGGTAGACTGATGGAAGATACCGAGATTTGACAGCTAACAGTCCAGTATTTATTTATTTCTTAATTTATAAAATTGTTCTAAAATTGCTTGTAGTAATTGTTGCACATCTGTGAACATACTAAAACCATAGAACTAAACACTTTAAGTGAGCAATTTATATATGATTTATAGCTTAGTAAAAGCTGCTTGAAAAAAAACTCAATAAATATTTTTTATTCACCTCTTTTATTTCTAGACTACTAAAAATAAATTATTAACTTTATCATGATACGATCTTGATATGACCTGGAAAAGATAATATTTATCTTCTGCAAAGAGATTACAAAGCTACTATACAGAATCAATAGGGGTTATGTGATTGAGTAGTAAAGCATGAAAGCATCTTCTTTGATTAATATTGATCATGCTGTTGAGAAATATTTTATATAACTGTAATAAATGCATATTTAATATGTTATTAGTGTAAATGTGCTTAAAATATTATTTATAATAATGGTTACTAGAAATTAGGAAAAGCAGGGGGGAGGAGGGATAGTGGTTGCTTGGGTAGGTACCAAAGTACAGTTTCACAAAAGAAGTAAGTCCTAATGTTCTACAGCACAGTAGGGTGACTATAGTTCACTGTAATTTGTCAAATTTTATAAAGAACTAGAAGTTCAAATGTTCCCAACACTAAGAAATGATAAATATTTAAGGAGATGGAAATATTACTCTAATTTGATCATTTAATATTTTATGCATGTAGTAAATTGTCACATAGTACCATCTATATATGTAAAATTATTATGTGTTAATTTAAGAATAGTTCTTCATGAAGACAGAAAATCTGTAAGTAAACCAACGAAGGCACAGGCCAATTTTAAGTTTTATCACTTCAGAAAATAATGAATAAATTGGGTTTTAATATTCTTTTAAAAATTTTACATGGAAGAATGCTTGCCCCTCCCTTTTACACAGCAAACTTATATTAGTAAAACTGATTAAGATCAGCAAGATAAGAAGAAAATGACACGGTAAAGGGTTGTAGATATTACACATGGCCTCCTCCCCCCAGCCCCAAGTTGCAGAGAGTTTTGCACAGATCAGCTTTACTTCTGAAAAACATGAGAGAACTTATATTATAATATAAGAGCAAGTCATCTTTCATTTAATGCTCCTATTTGTACTTTGGAACATTAAAAACAAGCAGGAAGAGCAAAGGAACGTGGCTTTGTTCTATATCAGTTTAACTTCGAGGTATTTTAAGCTGTTTTCTTAGTCATAGGTTAAATAAGTGAGCAGGGATACTCTTTCTATAAAGATCTCTTTTACAGTAGGAAGCCTGATTCTGACAGATAACATGAAAAATACCATACACAAAACTTAGCTTAGAGATTTACTATAGAAATACAATATTCACCAATTAATTATCCCGGGGGTGAGGACAGGTGGTACGGGGTGGAAATCGTGTGGTTTGGAATTTAATTCTTCTGATAATTCGATCCACTTGCCTGCAGGATACCAGACAGTCAGCGAAAGATTCTTACATCAAGTTAAAAGGAATTTAAACAGAGTAACATCAGGAAAAGAAGAAACAAAAAACAGAACCGAGAGTCCAAAAGAAAAAGAGGAGGCAACACGAGGCAACACTGGGCGCAAACTAAAACCGAAAGGTACCATACTGTAAAGCGGCCGCCTCAAAGACAGAGGTGGGACAGAATGGAGGATGGGACAGTGAGGAGCGGACCTCAGACATCCACCAAGATGCCCCCAGACTTCCCTCGCATTATCCTCGAAGCCAGCTCCCACCCGCAGGCGGCGCCCCTGCGCTCCCACCCGCCAGCGACCTACCTGGCTGACCTTGCGCCCGGGCCAGGAGCACCAGCGCCACTGCCAGGGACCAAGCTTCTCCGGGCATCCCAGCTGCTGCAGGTAGGGCCACCGGCGTTGACGCCGGGTGCCAGGAGGATGGGCCACCTCGGGTCTCAGCCTTTCACTCTCAGGCTTGTTCAGTCCCCTACTACTCAGTTTTCCCCAAAGCTGGGCGTCCTTTCTCTGGAATAGCGATGGGAGCCTTTGTGTACTCCCGCTCCTAGACTCCTCCTCCCAGCCTTGCAGCTGAAAACCACGCCCAACCTTGTCTAGGGGAACCGAAGCGCCGGAACTCCTGGCTGTGACTCCACCACCTTGGATGTCACCCTCATTCGCACTGTCAGCTAGGAGCTCGGGACATAACTTGGCATGTAGGTTGTCCTGACAAATGCTTAAAATTTAGTAATCTTAGAAACTGTTCAGATGGACTCCAGTAAAAAGAAACCTTGTATGTCAATGCCTTATGTCTGTAGACAATTTCTTAATAGCGTAATTGGCGATTAAGATTAATAATTGGAGATTAATAATTAATTAATAATTAATAATAATTGGCAATTAATAATTATATTCGCTCGTATAATTGACCTTGCTTCCCGAAAGATGCTTCCAACATTTTAGGACTCAGTGATGAGCAATGTAGGAGGGAGTAGAGATTAATTCTGCAATGATAGAATCCCTCTCCTCTTCCTCCGTAATAGGTTTTCAGAAGTGGAAGGGTCTGAACTCAGATATTACCCAGGTCTATCATGTATATGCGGAGCCATCTCAGTTATCCAGTAGTAAACCTGTAACCCAGGATAGTTCAGCGCATGGCCACTGACCCCTTGCATATGATTTTCAATTCTTTGAATTATCTTTAGGGGTGTGGCTGCCTCTTGAAAAAAAAAAAAAAAAAGTGGCCCCTTTTTTCAATTGTTCCTGTATATTTTTTCATGTCTTGGGATGAACCCTCATTCTCCCAGAATTTCTTCTGTGGTAGGCTCAGTCTTGAGTCCCCTGTCACCTTGCACTTTGCCCTCTCCTGAGGGGGAAAATAACAATGGTCAGCAGAGGGGAGTCTAGAGGGTCCTGGTGGCCACCAAGCTTCAGATCACAATTCTCAAGTTGGAGCATTGAGATTGGACTGGGCATGGAGGGGAAGACAGGAGTTGCCTAAATGCATAAAAAAGTTGCTTTTTAAATTGTTTATATTTCTTTTTAAAATTTGGAAAGGGGTCTTAACTATTTAAAAGTTTAAAATCTGTCTCAAAAAGTGAAAGTATTAAACCATTGGAAAAATAAATTCTTTGTGGTGCACAAACTTGTGTTTAGCCCCTTTTATGTATGCCAATGGGTACCCAATCTTCTGGGATAAAAATTAAATATAACATTTTGGTGGGAGGGGTCAGGTGATTTTCTTCTTAAAGCTTAATTATTGATGAACAATTTAATGGGGCCAGTATAAAAATCCAGAGGTTTCTTAGTGTATTTTTGTTTCAGATTATAAAGTTCTGATGAAACTACAACAAAAATAAACCTCAATTTCTTAATCCATTTATGAAATCATCAGGAAAAAAATAATAGTTATAATCAGGATCAAATCATAACAGGCCTTATCTGAATAAATTATCTAGCAGTTTCGGTAGAAATGCAATAAACTTGGATAGGTTATTGAAGGACAATATCACTTCTCTGACTTCCATTAAACATACAGTTTAAAGTATCATAGGGTTATTTTTCCCTTCAGTTTTTGATTTATGACTACCAGTCTATATGAGTTTAGACAAAATCTAAAACAACAACTTAAATTATTTTTCAACCCTCAGTAGTGGATTTATCTAAACTCACTTGGCTCTGCAAGAATGTACCGACAAAAAAAAAAATTAGTCACAGGACTATATAAAAAATTTAAAAAGTAATAAAGTTGGTGTTTTACTATGTGTCTGGTAGGTTAACCAAAAAATGGTGCAGAATTCCTTTTCTTATTTTTTTTTATTTTTGAAAAGAAGAAAAACAACATATGCATGATACTCTCATTACAGATACTGCTGGTGTTTGTAAAATTCATAAATATTAGTGAGAGAGAAACAATATGAATGTCTGAAAGGAAGAAATGAAACCAAGAACTAATAAACACAATATAACTTACATGAAAATAAAACTTACCTAGAAAAACCTTGCAGGAGAAACTTCAAGTGATGATTTTCTGGAAAAGGAAATAACTCTTTGTCAGTTTCATTTTTTTCAAATGATGATGGGCCTTTATGATCAAAACACCACATTCAGGAGGCAGACAAGCCCAAGGATTAAGCCTACAAACCAACACCTGGATGCTAATCCTAGATCTGCTTCCTCTTTCCTGGCTGTGTAACCTTGATCAGCATACTCACCCCTTCTTATTCTCATTTTTCTGTATCAGGAGAATGATAATAATATTTACCCCATAGAGTTTAGAAATCAAAAGTGTGTGTATGTTTGTATGTAGTGCAGAGGTAAAAGGGGGCTGAAGAGAGAGAGTGTGCTTGGAATAGTGTCTGATTGGGAGTGGCTGTTATGAACAAATATGATAGTTTACTGTTATTAAAACAAGGAGCCAAAACCTACATAATTATACCTCTTCTTATATCTTATTATGAAGGTATGTCATTTCTCAGTATTACTCTATTATGCTGTGCTTCATAATCTGGAACATATTTACTGAAAACACATATTTACATAACATAAATTCCATGTCTGTTTTATTAAATGAGAGATTTCTTGCTCTTTCTCTTAACCACACAAGTTTATGGTAGTTACTGACCCTACTGGGAAAACAGGTTCTCATGCCCAGAAAAAAAAAAAAAAAAGAATGGTAGGGTTGCTTGTGTGGTTTGAGTTGAACACAAGTACAGGTAGAAGTAGAAGCTAAGCTTTTTTTGACTACGGGTGTAGTCGAACAGTGAAAGCAGATCAGTGGAGCGAAAAAGACAAAGCTGAGTGCCTCAAGAGAAGTTTGAGATGAAAATACACATGAGAATAAAAGTAAATCACGCTAGTACACAGAAATAGAAGGAGAGAGGGGAACCGTAGGGAGAGAAAGAGAAATAGAGACAAACGAACAGAGGGATAACCCGATTACGATGATTTTTTCACTCTTTAGCTCCAAGATCTTTTGAGGACCACTTCTATTTCCTTCCCTAAAGTTCTGTAAACTATTCCCAATACACTCTTCGTGAACTGGGTATAAATAAGTTTGAATTTATTTTTATGTTTAGCTTTATGTTTTTGTCATTTACAAATAAAAGAATATTGTGCAACACCATGGAAAATATATGCCCTATAAATGATTTTGTTGTGCTAATGCATTTTGATAGAGAAGGAAAAGAAATTGCAATCATGATTTACTTTTAAATGTTACAGTCATTTTTGAGAAGGAAATAAACTACCAATTGGTCCTACAACCGATGCAATCAAAAATTATTGGGAAAAGTATAGTTTGATCATTTGTGGAGTAAAAAAAAATCCGCAGATAAGCTCAATATCTTTCACAAGAAGATAATTCAGTGTTAAAAAGATTGGAATATGTTTTTATTTCCAAGTAGTCTGATGCCACTTATAAATTATTAATAATTTTATTGTGATAGGCTACAGACACTGTAACTGAAAATAACTACAGCAGAGATGGAGGTAAGATTCACTAGTATTGAAGCTCATCAAAGAAAATTTGCCAAATATATCTTATCTTTCTTTCTCATTCATAGGCTGTTTTTTCTCTTGTTGCCATTTTCCTGCATTTAAAATAGTTTCCTATTTTTAAAATTATTTAAAAATTAACGAGAAAAATTTGGATGAATAAAGAAACAGCTTTATCTTTTTAAATTGCATTAATGAAGAAAATCATTCAATAGCGGAAAAGAGGAAGCCCTTAAATCTGCATTATAAAAATGTCTTGCACATTATATGTTTACTTCATATAGATCTAGAATTATGGAAATCATAATTTTGGAAAAGAAAATAGTTCAAGCAAGTCATTTATTTAGTTCTTCTTAGAAAGCCCTTTTCAAATGAGGTCTTGCAGGTTTTTTTTAAATATCTGAAATAATTAGGATGAACTTAATTCTAATTAGCATATAGTAAATTCCTGATAAATATTTGTGAAAAAGATGAAGAAATAATAAGAGCATTTATATAATCTGTACAATATGGTATGTGATTTTTCATGTTTTTAGCTACAACTTATTGAGTATTATAACAATCTTACTATGTGGGTAAGATGTGGGTATGATGAACCAATAATAAATAAAAATTACATGCTGCATTGTTAGTAATTCACCAAACAATTTTTTCAAAAACAGACACTCTGATGTGTGGGTTTTTTTAATCAACTATTATATTATGAATGAATGATGTTCAGTAAATGAATAATTGGAACTACATACTTGCTTAGGGTGCATATAGCTCATTGTTAAAAAACCTTTAGCTATATAAAATTTTAATACTGTATGTCACATTGTGACTTAATGGAATTTTGATAAAATGTACGTACATTAATAATGCTGAAGTCTTTCATTGAATCTTATATCAGTTTATGAAATAAACATGCTATATGTGGAAAAAAAAAAAGAAAGCCTCTCTAAACTTGGCTCCTTCTTTATAGTCTTCCCTGTTCTGAAAAATGGCTCTCTACTCGGTCGCCTTCCTAACAAACCAGGAAGATATCAAGAGGCCTCTCCCTTCTCTGTCCTTCACTGTTCCACCTCAAAACCATCTATTGATATACATAAGCTCTGCTACTACGCTGGTCCAGACCACCATTGGGGCTGTTGAGGGTCACTATAAGAAAACACCATCTTAGGAGCTTGTGCTTCAGTCAGTCTGGCTTCGCCCATTTTATCTCTGCCATATAATATCTAGGGAGAAATTTTAAATTGTAAATCATACTATGTGTCTATCTGGAAATCTTTCACAGCCCTCCTCCCATGGATAACATGTAAAAATGCTATTAGAACTATAATCTTCAACACCTGGCACTGCTTTATTCTTCAAACATAAATACCTTCTATTTTATAGAAATAAAAATATTTTCTATTTAATTACCTTTTGCTTTTATTTATTTTGCTTTTACCCTATCTTTAATGAGGTATGATTGACAAATAAATTTTTATTTGTATTTAAAGGAAACATAATGTGATATTATGATAAACATATACATTGTGCAATGACTGTACTGTCAAATTAATTAACATAATCAATACTTTACATAGTTACCAATTTTTTTCTTATGATGATAAAAATTAAGGTGTACTACCTTAGAAGATTTCAAGAATAAGATACAGTAT